ACACGGAAAAACAGCTTTTTAAAATTTCATTTGTATATAAATTAAACTTTAAACTGCTATTTGTTCCTCTTTAAATTTTGGGAGATAGAACAATCTAATTCTCAGGTCGCGAAATGAGAACAAAATTTAAACATTTTATTTACGAGTGTATTAAACAGGGGCGGCCTAGGTTATTTTTAGCCTTAAATTTTTTGTGCAATTTTTTTTGCTGGCTGCAGAATATAAAAATTGAAAGTTTTATACGTAAAAAAGGTACTTTTGTTGGACATCGATAAAATGCCCATTTTCGAATAAAAACAATAACAAATTTCAAAAAAACATATTTCATATTTTTACATATTTATGTATATTTTCCGAAAATACATAATTTTATCTCAAACTGTTTCAGAAATAATAATAATAAAACATCCTATGGGACGCCCCTTTAGGGGCTCTGTAGGCCCCTTAGGGGACATTTTCCGACCTACGTCCATATACAATGTTCTTTCTATTTTAGGCCCTATATAAGACTATAGTAATAAAATTTAAATTTAAACTTATTTTTTTTTCGGCAATTTATCGTCGACCAACTGATTGCGTAAAACTAATTGTTTTATTATAATTACTATATTGCCAAAATTAACTTTTGTTGCTTGTTTTTGTTTGCTTGATATTTTAACAAAAAATCTACATAACATAAAATTTTTTATCGTACTTACAGAATACACAGGATTTACATGGGTATAACCGATTTTCACGAAATGAGAGGTATTATTTAATAAAAACACTTGACAGTGAATGGAGTTTTTAAATGAAGGTTAAACAAATGAACAGTTAAATATGTTATAATTATTCGTTTTTATTGTGTTATTTAAATAATTCCAATTAGATGCATTCTAATCTTATATTTATAATTTTGCAATTTATGGCGTGTAAAGTAAACAATCATTTGAAATAATGAAGCATATTAAAAATACAGGGTGATTCTAAATATGTGCATATTAACATCTTATTGTTATTATTTTATGTTAATACTCGATTACAAAACACTTGTAGATAAGAAATATCAAATATCATTTCAATAGGTAATTAAAGTAATTAAATTATAATATAATAGAACTTTAATCAATATTTATAATTCCATTATCACTTATAAATAACCAAGAGGTTACAGCTAATTTTGGCGTGATTGCGTTTTTTCTATGTCCACATATATTGGAAGTCGATTTTAACCGCTCGAAGCACAAACTATTTTTAGTAAATTACATTATTTAATTATTTTTTTTAACGCAAAATATGATTCAAATGTTTAAACAAAAAGAACTATGTACTGCTATAGGTCAAAATGAATCACGTGAAGTGTGATAAGACATAATACTATAATATAATATTAAGGGTCATTTTAAGTCCAAATTTAAATATGGCTGGAATTTTTTTGTTATTGAAATAAAAAAATGATCCGTATTTTTTATATAAACGATTTTTTAGTGTAAAACATGTAAAGGTTTTAATTTATTTACAATTGACCTTGAAATTGGTATTTAATTAATTTTCAAGACATGTGAAAAATGCTCCATGAAAATGCTTTTTATTCCTTAGAAAAGTAAGGAACTTTAAATATGGGATATTTTTTTATCTGTTAAATTTGATATCCCTACATTTTTTATACTTTTTATCTTTTATACACTATTGACTAATTTATTGTGAATTCTAAAATATACAAAAAAGAAAAAAAAATTACTTACGAACTCCTAATCATATTAAAAAACTATTTATCACAAAAAACCTTTCCAATATGACCCTACACCTCACTATACAGCACTAAATATTCGGCAGTCGATACGATAACCGATTAAATTATTTTATTTTAAGACTTATCGATAATTTTTTATTTAAGCATAGATAACATGTTACTGACAAAAAAATCAACGCGAACAGGTACCTATATTGAAAAATTATCAGTTGAACTTGGTACCACGTTAATAATGAGAACGAAGATTACGTCCGACCTTTGTTTAAAAAATACAAAAGCTTAAAAAAATAAGGCTGTTAAGATTAATCGGTGAAAATTTTATATTTAGATAAAATTTGTTTCAAATAAATATTAACCTTTTTGAGCACTTGAGCACTAAAATGTTAAATTAGAAAAAAATAGGCTTCGAGAATGCCCATTACTTAAAAAAATTGTAGACAAAACTAATAACTAAAAATATAAATTTTCACCCTTAAATTATTTTTCTCGTTATGGCACTAAAAAACATGCCACTTATTTCTATAATTTATCAAACTGCGTTATAAACAAAAAACAATTTGAAAAATCAATAAATCAATTAATTGTTTCGTTTTTAAAAAACCATTAAAAAATTAAATATTCCCGACGTAATTGAGCAAACAAACAATATACAACTTTAATTACCTTTAGGTAGATAGGTATATTGCTTAAAGCAAAATATAAAATGGTTGCAATTTTTCCTTTTTATATTTTGTTTTTTGTTTAACTACATATGTATTTTTATTAACAGAGATTTACATGGCAACCGTTACCTACCTATTTATTATAAAATATTTCAGCATATTAGACAGTGTTGTCAACTTGACAATGTTAAAAATGTTAATTTATGATGATGAGAAAAAATATATAAAAGTCTTCTTTCACACGTGTTTTACTTAAGTTGGAGAAGTGGCATTTAAAATTATGCAAAAATTTTTCACGAATGATGTGCAAATTAATGCCAAGATCAATTTTCCTTTAAATTGGACAATTGCAAGGAAGTTGCGTGAAAGGAAGGGTCTAGCTATATGTGGGATAAAGGTCAAGGCCGTCGCGACGCCTTCGATTCACCCAGCCTCCTAGACGCGTGCGGCGCACAATGTTAAAATTACAACGAAAATTTGGCCCAAACAAATTGGGCAAAAAACGGAAAAAATCCTAGTAAAGATTTTCCTACGAAATTTTGTTTAGTTGGTCACTAGGAATAGTTAAGGTGACCAACCGTCCTGGTTTACCCAGGACAGGTTCTGGTTTTTGCTAATTTATCCTGGTTTCAATTGTGTACTGGTTTTGTCATTGTTTTAGCAGATTTGGTCCTGGTTTATACTATTTTTTTAATTATTGACGTTATTTTTTTGAATATTGAATAAAATATTTTTTTTTATTTTTTGAAATGGCGAGGAGGGCCATGTTTTGCCCTGGTTTTTATTTTTGGAAAGTTGGTCATAGGGATAGTGTCTCAGAAGTCCCAAACGAAATCGCGCAGGCATTGCCAAGGTCAACGGGGTTTAAAAACAGTTTTTCCCGAGTAGGTATCTCATAAATTATTGATTTTACGGAATTTTTTTATACCTACCACAAAATTTGTTCCTAATGTGAATCTGTATAAAAATGGTTGTAGGTATACTAAATTTGCGTGGGAATAGTTCTCGAGATTATTTAGGTAGGTACTATAATTTGAAAATCTGACAACAAAATTCATTATATAATTTAGTGGTTAAATTGTTGCCATTTTTTTGACAAAATTAAAGTTTTGTTATCCCAAATGATTTATCGACGGGATGCGTCGTGTACAGGGTGATCCCCTATAATGTCGCCCCCCTTTAAGTTTTTTATTTTAAGTTCCCCAAAAAATTTAAAAGTGTGGTTATATAGGCACTAAAAAATACTTTTTTCTATGTATAAAAAAAATTAATTTAGGTACCTAGGTATCGAGGTAGGTATATCATATACCATATATCATATACAGTATATGGTATTTTATATGAAATATGCTTAGAATTTTACAAGAAATCGAAAAATAAATACATAGGTATATAGGGTGATCCATTGAAAAAAAATAAACTTTTTGTTTTTCCCTGAATACTGAACAATTTTCCAATTTTCTTTATAAGTAGAAAAAAAGTATTTTTTAGTACCTACATAACCACACTTTTAAATTTTTTGGGACACTTAAAATAAAAAAGTTAAAAGGGGGCGACATTATAGGGGATCACCCTGTACACGTGGTTGTAATAAGAAAAAACCCTTGAAAATTTTTTTTCTAGTAAGTTTTGTGCATAGGTAGGTACTTACGCTCATAAATTATAACAATTATCTTTAAATAACTTTATAACTGCCACTTAAAAAAACTTAGGACAACTAAGCACCTACCTAAGTGGGTACATGAATTTCATCTAAAATAAACCTTGAACAAGTTAATAAAAACCTGCAATTTTATGTACCTAATTTAAAAAAAAATACCTACGTTCAGTCCAAACTCTCAAGGAAATATTAAAATAACACGTAAGTATAACAGTTTATTTTTTCCTACAAACTTTTCATTTAGTGCCTGTGCACTAACATACCTAATATGTTTATTTTTATAGGTAGGTAAGTAATTTCTTGTTTAAAAGCAAAACATTTTAGCATGGACTTTGCTCTGCGAAAATAACACTCTTTTATCAATTGAAGACATCCTGATTTAAAAGGAAACGAGCATTTATTATTATTAATACAAAACACCGTGTAACATAAACAAGGGGACCACCTTTTTACGTAAATTTAAATCATTATTTAAAATAATCAAGTGACTAATTAGCATTAATGCGTATGTAGCGGCTTCTCATTGGTCGATAATCGTATGACATTTCGAACGGTCCAATTGGAAGGCAAGGAATTTCCCATTACCAAATAAAATAATAAATAAGTTACATTTTGGTGGCATGCTATTTAGGTAGGTCAAGATTGCTAAGTTCGACCACCTTTGCAACGTTTCACGGAATCGCAAACAGCAGAAACACGTGTTTAATTAATAAAAGAAGTTTATATTATTTATTTAATGCAGTTAAATTGAGCGAAAACGTATTGACTCAACAATTTTGTTGCGATACATAACCTATCTAAACAAATCTGACGTCAGCTTATTGAAGACGTATTAAGGAAGGACTGCACCAACGTAAAATCGGTTAATTGAGAAAAAGTGGTACAAAATTAGAATCTAATTCGATTTTTGACGATCGGCATTTAAATGAGCAAATTAAATACTCACCAATGATTTACGGTCCAGACGGGAACCTTGGACTCCTTATCTCCTTTCTGATAACCTTTCCGCTTTTTCACTTAAACTTGCACTTATATTATTATTATCAATGTTCTATTGAAATAAACAAGAGAACCACGATCCGCTTTGATGAAATGTTACCGTATTTTTGGATAGCTTTTCTTCTCAGCCAATAGGAGCTCCCGCATGATTGGAAGGGGATGTGGCGTGATTCTTTACGTCACCATGTGCATACAGGATAAGATCAATATTTTCAAGAACCACCCAAAAACAATCTCTATCGACTTTAATCCTTTTATCCTTTTTCAAAATACAAAAATATCATCAAAAAAAACTAAAATTTGAGCGAATTTTGACTTTTCTTCTGTATTTCAGACGTTTTATAAACAGTACAGGAATCTACTAAAGTTTATTAGTAAATGTCAAACAGATGGCGCTTTTAGCAAATGCGTGTTTTTGACGTTTTGGGGTTATTTGTTTAAAAACAAATAATTACGGGTGAAAGTATGGATATTCAAAGCTCCATAGCATCGAATTCCGTGTCATTTTTACAAAATTTATCGAAACAATCATCTCTACAAATACCAGCCCTTAAATCGTTTTATTTGTGAGTAAAATTGGTACAATTTTGATTTAACATTAATTAATGTTGATTTTAGGACGAAATCTAGGTTGATCGAGTTAAATAAGACTATTAAATTACCCAAGCAAGTAAATAGTGGCTCAGGGAAGTGTAATAAATGTCTAATAAACTTTCAGATTGACACCATAACATGTAAAGTGGCCAAAAGTAAGAAGACAAAATTCGCTAGAAAATTGCTATTAAAACAGCGTAAACATAAGGTTCTTACGGATTTTCAACGAAAATATAGTAAAAGATGTATAACAAATGACAACAACTTGGTAAATGATATTATTAGTAGAGCTGTACCTATTAATGGCATTATTTTTATCTCTGTGTTTTTTAGATAATAACATGTAAATTTTGCAAAAAAGAAAAGTCAATACCCATGAAAAAACCTATAATTAAGCCAATAGTAGTGGATACTCCAGTTTCTAAGACGGCAACAAAAAAGAAGAAAAAGAAGATAAGCCGTTTTAGTGGTTTGAATGAACAACTAGTTTTGTCTGCAAAAAAGAAGCAAAAGGATTTTGTAAAATTGATTCCGCTTAAGATTCTTCAAGAAAAAACAGTAGAACAAAAAAAACCTTGTGTTAATGGATCAAATTTGATACCTGTTAATTCAAAGAGTCCAAAAAAATCAAGGGATTCTATTAAGTTTAAGAGTATTATAGTTAAGGAAAAACCTGAGCAATTAAATAATAATAATGGTGGTAAAGTAACCAAAAAGAAAAATCAAGCTTTGGAAAAATCTTTAAAGAACTTAAAGCAGCTTATGGCGAGCAGTACACCTTTAAGTAAGCAAAAGGAAAAACCAGCAAATAAGCTGCAAGCTTTTTTGAAAGGTATTGAATTGTCTAAGGGTAAATAAAACAATGTTGAAAAGTAATAAATATTTATAATTTTCTTATTTTTGTATTTATAACAAAACATCTAAAAGACAATCACACAGAAAACTTAATGGAAAATTGGAAAATATTATGCCTATTCCAGGGGTATTTGATCCACCACAATCTAAAAAAATAAAAAATATTTATTATATGGGGTGTATAAATAAGATATGATTAATGGGTTAGCTATGTATGTACTTAAAAGTAAGACAAAATTGTACAAAAAGGTTTTAATTCAAGTACCTACAGCGTTTGACGTTTTGATACTTATAATTACTTGATTCCGCCACCAGGTGGCGTCATTAGAGACTTGCTTGCGTATTCTTTGTCTTATTTTTAAAGTAAATCCCGATAACTTTCTAATATTAAAGAAAATGTCATGCAAAATGTTAACGATAAAAAGCGAAAATGTTTTTCCATGCTCAATACTGCAAGAGAAAGTGGCAGTTGGGCACATTGGCAGTGTCTCAAGCGCGGCAATGAGGTGCTTTTGTTTTTTGAGAGGGAAGAGAGTGGGGGCACCTACCTTGGCGCATATGCGCTTGTATTCGAACTCCATGCAAGACGCAGGCCGTTCGGGCAACTGTTTGCCACGCCGCCTCAGCTCCTGAGTGATCTCGGCCAAGTCCAGGATCGAGATCGGGTCCACCTTGTGTCTGCCAATGAGCCCAACTAAATATTCGACGTAGTGTTGCCTGCACACACACAAAAAAACACCGGTGTAAATTAGTAAGTAAAAAAATGTTATTTTTTTTCGGCAGGGATCAAACTTTTTTTTTGTTGATCTACCTGTCTTAATCTAATCGTGTACATTTCCCTGGGCGTGCCGTATGCGTTCGGTGGTAATTTTTTGGCCGCCCTGCGCACTACCGTCTCTAGGTCTTCAGCGGACAGTAAACTTAACGGGTCTACGCTATTTTTGCGGATAAGTTTGCACAGATATTCAATGTAATGCATCCTGAAAAATCCATGTTTGGTGTATGGAGGAATAGGTGGTAATATGGAACAAGTTTATTATAGAAAATATTGAAAGTCGTTCAATATTATTACCAGCCTCTGTACTTATTGTATTTGTATTTTTGTATTATATTTAATAATAAAGTTTTATTTGTAGGATATAAATTGTATGTTACCTGCATAACCCCGCTTGTGCCTTTTCAACATCTCCATTACAAATAGTATCCACGAGACCTGATGGTGTTTCTTTTTGTAATGGAATTGGACATTTTTTGGTTTCATCGCCGGATATTTCTGTATCAAACTTTATTTTGTTCGCCTAAAAAGCATATTTAAGTAGGTACTTCTACTACCACTAAAACATGTTTGTACCTTTAACAAATGTTGCAATTCTCCAGGCTCCTTATCTCTCAAATAAAACAGGCAGTTCCTGGGATGATGCGCGTGGAGACCCAACTTGGCGCAATACTGACTGACTGTGCATTTGGCACCCATCATGAAGGTTTTACTACATCCATAACAAAACTCGTATTTGCACTGAGTGCACGTAAAATGCATGCAACCACCTTTGGCTAAAGAATATCTGAATTTACATTTCGGACAATCGATTCCGTTCTCAGCTAGATGTTTCGTGACTGCTTGTACTTGATTTTCCGGATCATTCGCGTCTTTCCATTCAGCGAATTGGTCGCATGTGATGCCTTCATGCTGTGTTTCCCACTGTAAAAGCAACAATCTCACTGAAAAATACAGTTTGAGTGATTTTAAACTCACCGTTCTTCTGCAAGACGCACAACTAACCGACTTGCAATCAGGACAAATCAGTCTTTTCTGTCTGGGATTCGAAATAAACCCGGAGGAACATTGAGCACACCACTTGAAATTAGGGTCCTGCATTAAGGTGCGATCCCTTAACTTTCTTTGGAATAACTCGTGGACATCATTCTCCAAAATACCCTTCAGTAGAATGTCTAAATGCGAGAAGTAGTCCGAAATTTCGTCTTCGGTACTCTCTCCTAGCTCTGGATGTTTACAAAAAGGACAGGTACAATCCATGATGGTCTTATCTGTTATTTGTATAGTAAAGTAGTTTTTGGCGCAGTCGTAACAACATTTGTGTATGCATTTTAACATCGATATTATCTAAAATTTATACATGTATTATACTAAAAACAATATAGACCAAAAATATATACCTTATTCATCGGATATTTCCCAGCACACAACTCACAATCTTGTTGCAAATACGCTATGGCCGCATCCAAAGAAGAACAGTCCTGAACAGCTTCAATAGCTTCATCAGATGAGAAGTTCAGAGCCATCAAGCTAACCGCTAGTTCTGCTTGCTGATAAGTTTGACACTGACCCTCAGCTAAAAATCTTCTGGCTTGCCTCTAAACAAAACAAATCAATTAATATCATCATGATAATGAATTGTAGAGTTTATTTGTTTGTCTTGGTTCCTTACCTCCATCTTCTCATGTTCCGTAGGCTGTTTGAACTCAACCTGTAAATCTAAGTCAATATGCTCAGTATGTTCGAGTTTATTGTTTGTTTCTTCGACTTCATCTTCAGATTCATCGGTTTTAAGTTCTTCCTCTGACACGTATTCCTCCGATTCGCACGTTTCCTCTATACTGTTGTTTTTGTTTTGCAAATTCGTGGTTAATTCGTTCACTCTTTCACTGTATAAGTTGATATTAAGCTCTTCAGCCATCTTGACGTTGTTAGCATCAAACTCATCGTAGTCCTCAGAGGCTGATTCTTCGATTTCTTCGAAATCTTCCTCGAAGTCTTCGTAGTTTTCATCATCGGAACTCAGTTCTAGTATTTCTTCCACATTACTGTCCGATACGGACGAATCGCTATCGTTGTCCATGGATTTCGTGTACGAATATTGCTTGCACGAGCTTGTAGTAGAATCCATTGAGCTTTTTTTAATCAATTGGTTTCTCTTGCTGATCGGATCGCTGAGTTGTTTTTTTACTGCTTCAACGGTGCTCTTCATTTCGTTGGCTATATCTTCCACTTTATCTGCAATTTTAGTTGGAGGTTCAACAGTCGCTTTCTCATTGTGGGGTTTTGTATTGGTTTTTACAGGTATTTTGCTTTGAGTTGCGTGTACTTCAGGCGACTTTGGTTCACTTTTAGATACTGATCTTTGTCGGGATATCGGAATTTTCGATGGTTTTTTTATAGCGGGAATAGTGCTTTGTTTGTTTTGCGCCATTTGTATAGTCGTTGTTGTCTTAGGTTGATTTTCAATGGTTTGGCAGTCATCTTCACTTTTTATTTGGTTTACAGCTCTCAATGTCTCTGATTTGCTTATTTCATTTGCTGCCTCTTGAGGAAGATCATTTTCTGAAATAATCTGATTAAATGCCTTTAGAGTTCCTGATTTGCTGACTTTTATTTCATTCGGGGTTGCTTCATCATCGTTATTCTTATTCACTGCTATTACAGTTTCTGATTTGGATATTTTGTTTTCTGTAGGAACTTGTTCATCTTTAATTTGGTCGACTGCTTTAACAGTTTTTGATTTTTTAACTTTATTTTTGGATCCCTTTTGTTTCTTGTTTACTTTTTCAATGACATCTACCACTTCTGCCTCCTGTGGTTTTTCTAGATCCTCCTCAACAACAACTATTTCTTTTACTGATTCCAAAGTTTCCCTAATTTCCTCCTCCAACTTATTATTATTATCGGACAAAATTTCTGGACTATACTCTTCCAAATCCTTTTTAGGCTCCGTAGTGTTTCTCTTATACTTTGAATACTTTTGACTCTCATGTTTAGACAAACATTTTTTTCTATTCAACTTACTAGGTTGTTTGACATTGTTTTCTTCCATATTTTTTAACTTTTCTGTATCTGTATTATTATCAGTTTCCGGTACTTCACTGCTCGACTCCGTGGTACTCGTGGTTGACTCTCTACGAGCCGCTCTTTTCTCCGAACGCCTCTTTGCTTTACGCATTGATTTCTTCTGCTTTCTGTTTAGAGGTTGGACTGTAGTGGACGTGGAAGGTTTTTCTTTTATTTCTGTGTTTTCAACGGTGTTTATAGCTGAGTCTTGTTCAGATTCTGGTAGCAATGAATTGTCTTTTTCTTCAGATCCTTGAGTTTTGTCTTCTATGATGTTCTCTTGATTTGCAGATTCAGTATTGTTAGTAAATTCTAATTCAACAATCCCTTCGTTAACATCTACTTTATTATCATTAGTATTAGCTTGCATTGGTTCTATCACTTCATGTTGTGTATTTTGTTCTAAAGCAGCATGGAATTCAGGAGTTTTGGATTCATTAGCACTACTTTTTTCAACAGCTTGAGTATTATTTGTATCTATACTACTTACAGGGGGATATATGTTTTCTATGATATTATTATCTGTGGTTACAGGTTCTTCAGTTGTTGCTTTTTCTACTACTAGAGGTGCTAAGTTATCTTGGTTATTATTTATTAATGGAAGCTCTAGGCTGCCATCTTGAATTTCAGCCAAATTATCATTTGAAGTTGCAGAAACATCGTTTTTACGTCTTTCATCAATTATTTCAGCAGACTTTTTTGCTGGAGGTACTAAAACTTGTATAGCCAAATTCTCAACTTGTATAGTAACATTTTCTTCAATTGATGGGTTGTTTGCTTCAACAGAATTTTCTACTGGAGATACTAAAACTTCTATATTACTACTTGTAGATTGTGTATCGTGATTTTTTTCATCTGGAATCTTAGCCAAATTATTAACTGGTATTGGAGAAGTAATTTCAAAGGGTTCTACAATATTTTTTTCTGGAGGTACCAAATCTTCCACGTTGGAACTTGTGGATTGTGTGTTAAAATTTACAGGCATTGTGGCGGTAAAATTTTTGTTGGACATTTCTTTTTTTAAAGCCGGCTTCAAAACAATTGCAGCTTTACTCTCAAGCACGACATTATTTGTAGGAGTTGATTCTTCTTCATTTTGCATTAACTGTGCGCTCTGTGCGACTGGCAGTTCTATAGCAACAAAGTCCAGATCAGCAGCTGCTGTGTTATGGCTTGTTAATGTTATATTTAGCTTGCTGACGCTCTTTTTTCGGCTTAAGTTGTAAGCAGGTTCTTTTCTTGTGGGTTCTACAGTAATGCTGTTATCGTTGTAGTTTGTTTGAGTGTTAAAATCTTTGGTTAGAGATTCGACGGCGTCTTTAAAATTGTCATTTTGAGCTTCGTTGTCGCTGCTATCAGTAGTTATGGAGTCTGGGGTGCCGGCGTTCGAGTTTTGCGGGTAAGGGATCAAGAAATCGTTGTCCACTACTTGTATTACGGTACTACTTTTTTCTACGAAAACTTTTGGTTTGGAAGCGGAAGGTTCAGGAGGATCTTCATTGTCCAGGCTCTCGCTTAGTCGATTCATATCCTCCAGGTTTTTCAGTACCTCGATTTCGATGTCTTTTAAGGAGTTTTTATGCTGTTGTTTTCGGGCTTTTTTTAAATTTTCCGAGGGGGCATTACTTACGTTTTCGGGCTTATCAGTAGTAGGGGCATAATTAGTACTAGTTTCAGAACTTACCGCTATTGCTTGATCTTTTATATTTTTTTCATCCTCAGTTATAGGTTCTGAAATTACTATATAAGAAACAGTTTATTTTTTATAAAGTAGCTTACCTTCGCCCCTAATTTTTTGCAATGTAGCCCCCTCATTACCTGCCTCATTCTCCGTACCCACCGGTGGTCCCCAAATCCGCATTAAAAAAGGTTTTAGTTGACTTTTACTCAACTCATTGTAAGCAGCCTCCAAATCGCCATGATTTGCAGTCAGGACAGTTACAATGTCTTCGCGACCGAAATCGCCGCGAGAGGCTAAAGTAGCATACTAAAAGATATCCAATCAGTACAATAGTGTTTATAAAACAGTTTTCTTTACCTTTCTTTGCCTCTGTTCCACGCACTCTGTAACTGCCGGCCATAGATTCCCTTTATGCAACCTCAAAGCATCTCGGGCTTCGTTCTCCGAAACCGTTCCTACTATATTCATGGGGCCTTCTCTACCCAGTTGAGTGGCCAAGGTTTGAACGCTTGCTATGGTAGCGTCCCAATGTTCCCTTAACCACTCTATGGGGTTCATATCCTTGCATTGAGTTATAGCGGCTTGAACCTCATCCGCTGTATACTTATACTGTTCAGCTTCCTAAAGAATAAAATAATGTTATAAGGATTTGTCAGGTGGTTGGTTAAATGGACTTACTCTTAGTAGCTTCACCAACTCCATGCCTTGAGATTTGAAGGTATCGTGTCTAGGTTCGCTCAGATAGTCCACATTGAATGATTCGGAACGGTTTCTATGACCAGGGTTGTCTTGAGAGTCCTGCAAAAACAATAAACATTCAGTATATAGTCGTGCAGTTTTTAAAGGTTATTTAAAACATATGGGTGATTTATTTTTAAACGAAATGGGTCTCTAATTCAAAGCCTTTATACAAGTGAGTTAGTAGGCATTCACACACCAAATAATTTAATCACACACAGTGATATATGCACCCTGTATATGTCGTATTGACTCGGCCGCCTGTACAGGTCCGGTTTTCTGAGGTCCATGATGCTGTGAGAAAGTCTGGTGTTTGTGGGACCATGATTTCGACGGTCTCTATGACTGTATGGCTCCTCCTCGTAGTCGTAGGAGAATGGACTTTGTTCTCTGCTACCAGGAAGACTCTAAAATGGAGTTTTTAATATGTTGTTTGGGAAAAAACATGGATAAAATACTTGCGAATCAGTTGTTAGAGAATGTCTGCTTGAAGAGCGATGCAAGGACCACTCAGAACCTCGTTTTTGTGATGTTCCTTTTAAAGATTGTGATCTTTTAAAATCTCTTCTGCGACTGCTGCGACTTGTAGCTCTTGGTGACCTGTTTGAATCTCTAGGTGGAGGAAGTTCTTCATAGGTCTGCGAAAAAAAACGTATTATTTATTTATTTAGTTGATGGTGATTCAGTTGTTACCTGGGTAGATATGCTTTGAGGTGGTGGTGAAGTTCCACAGGATGTAGTAACCATAATTCTTTCCAATTTTTCACTGTCACTTTTGCTTGATTTCTCCTCACTTACACTCGTATTGCTAGGAATTTCTCTAGGTGGTGAGCACCCGACACTAGTCGACACTTTTTGCACTTCTTGTTCACTCAAGTTCTCACTTATTTCCATTACATCTTCGTTATCTTTCTCACTAACGGCTTCTTCTTTTCCTGTAAAAACAGGAAAAGCATTACTTTAATTTTATAAACTAACACACAATCACAAACAAATTTTAGTAGAAACACACAGGCATTATTGATAAAGGACGGCACAAGAAGGGCAACTACTTCTGAAAGTTTGCGAACTTCGTTCCAGGCCAAAACGAAATCTTTCTACTCGTCCTACCTTTTTTGACATCATTCAATACTGTTTTTATCTCTGGTTTTGTATCAACAATCTTTAATTTTCCCATTTTGTTCAAAACAGATTCCGTCTCGCTATAATCTTTGCTGTAATCGTCGCTCGACATGCTTCTCTGTATTTTCTCTTTGGGCTGAGATTTTTTAATGGGAGGCAACTTGGCACTTTGTGTTCTTGATACTTTATTATTTTTATTGTTATTATTTTGTGCCTGTTTAACAATCTTTGGAGTCTCTGAAGCGGTTTTACAGCATACAGTACAAACTCTAGTGCCAGCCTCATTCACAAAGGTACAATGTTCGCATTCCCATGATGATGCCGGCACGACTTTGTTAACTGGTCGTTTAGGCTCTTCATCATCATCATTATTATCGTAAACTGATTCATCTTCTTCGGGAATCTCGCTGTCCTTTTGGCTCTCCGATTGGTAATCATCACTGTCACTTGAGCTTTCTTTGACGGAGCGTCTACTTCTAGCAACTGAAGACCTATCGAGGTGATCCAGAGTATGACGTCTCATGACTTCGCGTGGCATCGATGCAACGTCTCTTAACGGTATCTGGCGGTCGCTAAATCTATTGCTTAGCGATTTTCTTTCGCTCCTCATCGATCTACGCTCGTCTATGTCGTCTTCGTCGTCTGAGTCTGTATCGCGATATTTCTTTCTGCTTTTTCTGCTCAACGTAGACTTCCTAGACTTAACGCTATGAGTCGGTGAAGCAGGTCTTGAATGACTGCAAGATCTTGCATCGTGATGCATATTCATCTGTTGAGGATGTGGATATGGATAGCCAGTTGGTGGGGGTCCTTGCCAGGTATTCATCCACATGGGGTTAACGGGGTAACCATTTGGTCCCATGTTTAGACTCATATTGCTTCCATGTTGTGGATTGCACATCCCCCATTGGTCCACCCACGGTTGTGGCTGGCAGCAAGGTTGATGCAGCTGGGCCATAGATTGAGCCTAAGATATATAATATAAAAAATTGTGAATTTGTGTGTTCAAAAGCTTACCGATTGTATTGGTACGAATCCATGATGGTGATGATGTGGTACAGGTTGTTGCATGTTTAAATCAAAAACTGACGCGCTGTGTGGTAGTCTATTTGGAGGTAAAGATGTATTGCTGAACTTTCTTTGTCCTCTATTACCGCCGAATTCAGAGCCTGACATACTTCCAGATCTTGCACGTTGATTCCACTGCTCGATTTCCCAGTCTGGGTAGCCGCTATCTCTGCTTGGCGGCTAAAGGAATATTATAAAAGTTAGTATTTTTTTTGGTTTTACTAGAAGTAAATACCTGTTCAAATTCTGACGATACAGTAGATGGCAGATTTGGAGTAGTACCTCTCATGGCCATCTGGTGCTGTCTATACCTCTCTTGCAGCGAAGAGCTAGGGCTAGGGGGTCTGTAGCCTCTATTCAGATTCGGTGGGCTAGCGCAAAATTCTGATCGTGATGCTACAAAATATATTAACAATATAAAGAGTTGGGAATGTTTTCGTCTACTTACAAGTAAAGTTAGGAGAGGTAGGTGTAGGAGGTAAAGGCCTATTTCCCATCATTCGTTTCAGGGAATTCATTTTCTCCCTAAACGAGAACGAGTTGGCATCCTTTCTTTGATCGGGTTGGAATCCCTGAAATAAGTTCTATACTGTCGCTTCAATCAAGAATTACCAAACACTATTACCTTGAACTGTATTAATTGGGAAGCATACATAAAAGCTTTTTTAGATTAATATTAGACCTATTTATATTAAGGCTTTGATTCAGAGACTGTTATTTCAGAGTAAAGTTTTTATTTCAATAATTACAAAAGCAACATCCATAGATTTAGCTGGAGCAACAAAATTTGTCCCTCACCTGACTGTGCCGATTTGGCGTCGGGCTGGGACACGGGGACGGTCCCACTGAGCTGCCGCGGCGGCGTCTTGGCGGCGGGACGGGGGCAGACGGGGGCTCGCCTTTAGGGGGCAGGGGGGGCCTGATGGGCTGGAAGCGGGACGAGTCTGAGGTTTGCTACAAAGTTTTTAGTATTAGTTTTTTGATTTAGAATTTGTATCCTAGTAACTTGTACAGGCATTACGGGTGGTAATATGAAAGACCATCTTTTAAACCAATTTTTTTTAATCAGTAACTAACTTCTCGCCAGAAATGGTATGGGACGCTAGCTAATAAGATAGGGGTTCCATATGACCACATTTTTTTATTATTAAAAAAAAAGACTGGGTCATCGTTACGACTTACTCTTCTAATGTGCGTTTGCCTTTTTGGATGTCTGTGGTACATGTCATCGCAAGAGTGGCAAAATATTTGACGACATTGTTCGCATTGTACTGAAGGCCCTGAGGCCCCACATAGTTGACAATGTTTACCATCTCGTTTAAGGCCTGCAAATAATTGTTATTATTCAAAAATATTTAAAAAAATAAGTACGCACTGTTTCCATTCTTTGCTGGCAATAAAGGTGGTGCGTTAGAATACTGTTGACCGAATTCGATAACTTCGTAATCAGGCTCTTCTATTTTTTGTTTATATTGTTTGTTCTTAATTGAAGATTGTTCTTTTGGAAGGGGAGGAGGTGGTGCACTTGACCCCGATTTATTCTGCAAGAAAATATAAAAAAATAGGGGTAAATAGTAGTGATGCAAAGAAAGTGGTCATAAGGGAATACAGAAGCGAACAGATGTCAATAGTAATTTTTTGCGGAACCATATGCAGAGGCAAATGTAAAAAAATGTGCAAACTTTTTGCAGTTGTGGGAGCCATACTATACCTATATACTATATGTATAGTAAATAGTACATTGTTGGTCAGTCCACAAAAAACTATATAATTAAAAATAAATATTGTTTGAAGTGTGTAAATATAAATACAGATTTTTCTAATAAATGATTTGCTGTACAGTTGTCATCCTTTAAGGGGATGATAGTACATGCCAAAATAAGAATGTTTTTCCTCTATCATTTTTGCATTAGTGTCATTTACTTTAATAAAAAAAAAATCATTAAAATTTTGGGCCGCCACTGGTTATTCCTACGACAATTGACGCAAAAGTTCCTGCACAGTGGGCAATATGATTACTTTGTTGATAATTGTTTTGCATACCCAGCTATTTTTAGGTAGTAATAAAACAATACTTACTTTTCATTGTTAGGTATCTCGAGGTTTCCTTGGTTTTCCCGTCGATTTTAAATTTTACGTCGATTAATACTCATGTAGCTATTTTTTAAGTGTTCCACAAAATCATAATACCGAACTGTCAGTAATCAATGATAACGAAGTACCTACTAACTGATTTTGAATAAGTTTAAAAGTCTGCTTGATATTACATAAATCTAAGTTTTTAATGAATGTCGCCCACCTGTTTCTTTTTTGCTTGGATGTATAATATCATTGTTTTTAGAGGTAAAAACAATTATTACGGTACGTTGAATATACGTTTAACCCAAAAGTGCAAACACTCGATTTTTTTTTTCATTTTATCTTTCTAGGATGTCAACCGATTATTTTAAGCCCAAAATTAAAATAGGTCATAGCTAGGTCATCCCTTTGATCTTAAAAAAAAATTACCCTATAGGTGTCTAAACATTTTAGTATATTTTATTGTGGTGAAGCAAATTAATTTAAAATAGGGAACTAAAATCATAATATTTACAAAAAAATTAATTTATCAAGTTCGTACTCCTCAAAAGTAGATCCAAGTAAAAAATATCGATGTTAATAATTTTTGTTTGCAATATATTTTTTTAAATTTGCAAACAATGGATTTACAATTAGGTAATATAAATTTAATTTTTTATAAAATAAGAAATTTTAAGTAGAAAATCATATTTTTTATACCTTCCAAATGGGTATGTGTTCTCAAATGAATTTAATATAGGTAAGTAAGTAATGAAAATGTCTAGTTTCTAAAAGGCTTAATCCGGACCTGTGCATTTTAATATTTCCCTGTACGGCCCAGTTTTGGTGATTTTTCCAAAATTTGCAAATATGATAGTTTATTTATAGACTGTATTATCTATATTTATGATTTATTAAGTTTTAAATACATTTTACGTCTGTTACCCAATTTATCGTGGCAATAAAATGGTTTTCTGAAATTTCCTGTTCATAAAATAAACATCAAATAATTGCGCAAATAAATTGCACACACAAAATCGTTGGTTAAAAATAAATAGAGAGATATTACATTATATTAAGAAAGCGATCTAAATTTAGCATGCTTGGCGCTTAATTTTAAACCGGAGCGGGACTGTGTTTTTTGTGTGTTGGCTGCACTGAATTTTTTTCATATTATGAGGTGTCTAATATGGCGCACAAGTTGACAAAGCTTTGACAGTTTTTAGTTTAGATTTATGGTTTATTTTATGGAACGATGTATACGTTACCGAATTTTTGTCGTGTGTGTCTGAAATATGATAAAAACCTTATCGATCTGGCTCATATCGAGAATGAGCCCAGCGAAACGCTGCTAAGCAAACTGCAGAAAGTTTGTGCAGAAGTGGTGAGTTTAGTTTGTTTTTATTTACTGTTGTTTGTATATAATCTCTTAATTCTTTTAGGAATGGAACGTTTTCAAGCCGCTTCTGTGCCATCCGTGCATAAAACGCCTAAACATCGCGTACGGTTTTAAAAAACAATGTCTGCAAGCGTCGAGTGTGTTAAAAAACTACGTACAACTAGTTAGGGACAATCAAAAGAAAAAAGAGTCCAGCACGGGCGCAAAGGTGTTGGACGGTGTACCGCAAGGCTCGTTTATGATACTACCCAACCAAAAGTACGTGAAAATATTAGTGGGCACACAGAATCAAGCAGGGGGTGCCAATTCCTTTCAAAACGTGTTCCTCAACCTAATCCCTGCCACAACCACACCGACCACAACAGACACCAAAACGAAGGACACCAACCAAAATGTTTTCCTCAATCTTAACAGCACGTTTCAGAAATTCATCCCCTTAACGCCCACTGGTGATTCTGCTGCTAAGAAAGAAAATAAAAATCTAAACCAACTATTAACTGAGTCAAAAAGTGAAGAATTGAGTGTGGAATTGAACCCCCTTGACTTCACAGGTCTTGAAGATGAAGATGAGGATGATGAAGATCAAGAAGATACTGATGACTGGGATGAAGTTATATCTCCAACCAAAATTGACTCAAAGACAGAGGAGAATGGGGTTAACGGCAATAATAAACAAAAATTTGTTCCCATCCTTCCCAAACAAGAGGATTTCTTTAGTTCAGGTCAACATTTCCTCTCCCCACACTTGGATATGGTGCCCGATAAGTTTTCTTGTGAGCGATGCTCGAAAACTTTCCCTTCAATGGTAAGACTTAAGAACCACATCAAAATGTTCCATCTGGGAAAATTACCGTTTAAATGCGACATTTGTTATCTGGAATACGCGACGCGAACTGACTATGATCTTTGCGTTAAAGGCCACAAAATCCAAATGGCCAAAAACAAACAACATTACAACAAACGCCAATATAAAGCAGCCGACATCTCCGAGGAGGATTTAAAACCCAACGAGACCGGAGATTACGTTTGCGATATTTGCAAGCGCTTATTCAGCAGCTCAACAGGTTTACTGCGACACAAAGTTCGTAAACACAACCAGAAGAACAAAAAGAAGTACTTTATTAAAGGGGTGAAAAACGCGCGGTGCGATATATGCAACAGAGAGTTTTCCACTCAGTCTTACATGCAGCTGCACAGGAAACTTCACATGAGGGACGATGTGGGGTACAAATACAAAGTGTTTGGCAAAAGTAAGTATGGGATGGCTGAAGAAAACGCCAAGGAAGAAGAAGAAGAAGAAGGGGATAAAACGTCGGAAAGCATCGACGTGACCCCAGACATCGTCATGGATGATGATAGCGATAAAGAAATCGACGAAAGTGAGGTTAAGGAAGAGGATGACGATGAAGATCGTTTGAAAATGGACGAAAGTGAGGTTAAATCGGATCAAAAGGATGAAGATGACGAGTTGGAGGGGGAAGTCGAAAGACGTGACGACAAAATGGACGGAAATGAGGAAGAAGATGAAGATTCCGATGAAAATCGTTTAAAAATGGATATCGAGAATGGCGATGTATCGGAAAATGAGGAAAATAATGAAGAAGAGACGTTAAGTGAGGAAAATTAAGGTAAGATTTATTTATGAAATATTAAATACCTACCTACTATTTTAATACTACTGTGGGTATATTTAGAAAGTCTGCCAAATTTATTTTAAAGCAATTCCTATACATTTAAATATTACATACACTAAGTGTACTTAATTGTCAAAGTCAAGATTATACAGGGTGATTGGAAAATACGCAAAAATAAGTAGAATTATTCAAAATGTTTTAAAGTTAGTTATAGATAGATAGATAAAAAAATTTATTAATTAATAAACATTACATTAAACGTCAGGTATATATATAAAATTAAAAAAATAGTGAACATAGCTATAGGGACATTCCACGTTACTCGGTAATTTTTGTCCAGCCCGTCACAATTAAAAATTGTGAGTAAAAACCACAAGTTATTAAATTAATATTTTATAATATTATTTTTATTGTGCTAATGAACTTATTACAAGCAAAATTTACAATATTTTAAAATAAATTTAATAATGTGTAGTTTTTACTCCCAATTTTTAATTGTTACGGGCGGGACAAAAATTACCGAGTAACGTGGAATATCCCTATAAGTATAAAAAACGTATTAAAAAAACGGTATGTACATATAATATAAACAACATAACATATATTTATAAACATTGTAAGTTAAAATTAGTATTCAAGTATTCATTTAAAGAATAATAACAATTTTGAATTAAAATACCTTTCACAGATTTTGAAAATAGTATTAACTTAATACAACATTTTTAAATGACTAAAAAACTATGTGGGTATTTTAGGTTTCGCGATTTTGTTTATACTATTATGGTACAGCCCCCTCTAAAAAAAATTAATCGTTTTATATCGTTTCCTATTGATCGGACATAAAAGTTTTATGACGAAAAATGTTGAGACATATTTGTTTATAGGCAAAACTTTTTGTATTTAGTTCCTTAAAAGATAGAGAGTGCCAAAGATAACACAAATATTTTTTTAATATTTTGTCCATTTAAAATTGATTAAAACAAAAAAATGTTTGCTTCAATGCCATGTAAAAAAGTTGTATACATCAAAAATATCAATAAAAATTACTCAAATATGAAAATATATAAAAAAAAAATTGGCGCCCTCTATATTTTTAGGAACTAAATACAGAAAGTTTTGCCTATAAACAAATATGCTGAAAAATTAAAAATATACATTTCTTGTTTTAACACTTCTTGCCCGACCAATAGAAACGAAATAGAGCGATTTAATTTTTTTTTAATTTGTCGTACTTGGTCGTGAGTAGTGATGGGCGTTCCGGGTCACTCTTTTGAACCGGATCACTAGATCTGGATCACATAAGTGAACCGGTTCAACGAACCGGTTCAAAAGAACCATTTGAATCTCAAACTAATTAAACATAACACTTAATGAAATCATTCTGAGCACATAAACTTTAAGTTTATGTTAAAAATGTTTATCACTTTAATACTTAAGAGCCTTTATTAAATTATAAGGCAATACAAATTGTTATTTTAATAATATTATAAAGGCTATTAAATATTACATTGTATTTTATTAAAGTTTTGTTATACCATACTATTTATTTTATTAAAATTTTATAAAACAATAAAAACTTTATTATTTTAATATTTTACATGAAAAGTTATATTTAAAACATAAATGTTGTAAGTTTACACAATTTAAATTAATTAATATTAAAAATATATTTTAAACGACATTGTCATAAGGGAAATCATCTCATATTTCTGTGGGTTTGTAAAAAATTACCAAAAGTATAAATTTGCCTAACGTAGTAACGCGCCACAGAACGCAAGAAGTTCGGTTCCGAACGATGCGACCGGCATAGGCACTAGCGAGCTGCATGATACAACAGTCATGATCGAGCCGCGCCTAAAGAATCGAGATGTTTTGGTCAGATCTGGATCACAGAAAACAAAACGTACTGCGAGCGCGAGTCGTTCTTAGCTCCAGGGAGCCGGTTCAGATCTCTCGCGACCCGCCGCTCACGGCTCGAGCGGCTCGCCATGCGCGGCCTGTTCAATGCATAGCGAGTCACTCGCTGCGAGTGGTGAAGCAGTAAATCGGAGCTTAGAACGGCTTGCGCGCGGCCGCTTTGTAATTTCGGACCCGTGAGCCGGTTCGTTTAATTTTCGTGAACCGGTTCACGTAGATCACTTATAAGACCCGGTTCACTGAGCCGGTTCAGATCTGACCGACACATCTCTAGTCGTGAGATCGTGCTGTATACTCTTAAGTCTGAGGTACAAAACATACATTTACGTGTTTTTGTATAATTTTTTTACCAAGCAGGGTAAACACGAACAATTTTGCAGTGTTTGTTGAAAATCAAAACAGTTAAAAATAAAGTAATTCTCTCTTGATTTTGTTTTCCTAATTTTTGAACACCCTGTAGATAAAATCCCAAATTGTTTTATGTAAATGATATTTTTTAAAGATATTTTTTAAAACTTTTTATCAAGAATGACGTTTCTTCAAACTTATACATACTGCATAATATGCAGTGCATATTTTATGGTTATGAGTGTTATAATATGAATTTTTTTTCGGACACCATGTATTAATATTGTGTTTCTTAAAAAAGCAATCAAAACACATTTTTTAATTCAATACTTATTCATATTTCCACTATTAATCAGCTGTTTTTAATTTTAATTTTGCAACAATGCTTAAACTTGACCCTGGTTTTTTTATTAAAAGTTTGGTTTAAATTACAAAAAATTTATATATTAGTTGCTTTTAATTTTTTATATTTTATTTTAATGTGCATAAAGATTTTTTTAGTTGTCAAAAAAAAAACAAGTTAAGTGGAATATTATTTCGCAAACCACTTTTGCATTCTGACTGATTTTTAACGTATTTTTTTCTTTTTAGGAAACATTTTTATTAACAATTATTATCGGAATTCGGAATTGTCGTCGATGTAAAAAAAGTCTGTAAAATTCGAATGTAATTTAATTTTTTTATCACGCTCATATGACACGTTTTGTTTATGTAATTTTATGGTATTGTTGAAACAAACAAACAAAATTTCTCGAGGAAAAAATAAGAATACCCTCTGTTATTATTAATATTTAGCGTTAGTTTGTTATTTTAAAGATTATATTATAAGCATTAAGATTTTATATGCCTACTATTAGACTTAAGACTCAACTACATATATCATTTTCGTTCTCTTCTCCTGTATATATGATATCATTGAAATGAGCAGGCTTATTGTTTATTTTTTTTTATATACAATATAAATACATATATTCAATGAATTTTAATTAATTAATAAGTTTATACATATTGTTATTAAGGTACACTTTTAATTAATTTTGGTTAACCTAAAATGTATCTAAAATTTCGTTTTTTGTATTGTGTAATATTTATGTATGTTATTAATGTAGTTTTACTACACAAATATTTATAGTTTTATCCAATAAACAGGATCGCTTTTAAGGTACTTTTTATTTTATTTTACATAAAATTAACCTGCTTGTTTCTTTAAAAATGGAAATTTTATTGCTTTTTAAACATCGATTTGTTTACTGATCCAAAGTATTAATAACACGTTTGGAAAGCTGAATTTCTATTGGGCTATGAGTATGAAAACAAATATTTTCTTTGAACTGATTATGTATTAACATTTATTGTATAAATATACCAAATATCTTTTTAAATTTACTTATTTAGGCATGTCAATTTAATAATAGCTTTAACACAGTTAACGGTGAAAATTTTCTAAATGTTCTCATGTAACATGGTTTGACTCAATACCAAATTTAGCTTGAACCAATTTTTTTTTCCATAGTGAAGAATTCTTAACAAATTTCTTTGTCATATTGACACAAATTTTGATATTTCCCTTAGGGCAATAATTTAGCAATACTGAAAAAACAAATTGGTGCTAGTTTTTTTTAATTACATTTTTACTGTTCAAGCTAACTTTGGTGCGCATTATTGTAAAACACATTTTTTTAATTACTTACCACCCATTGTGGCATGTTTCTGGCCAACCTTAACCGGGTTGACGGGTTAGAGATGGCCATGGGCCTCCATTTTTTGTCATTTTTATTGTCCTGAAAATTTAGCTATTTTAAGTTTCACGATTTTTATTTATACCATTCTATCAGTTGTATTTTATATTATTCACAATAAATATTTTTTGAAGAAATACAAGCATCTTTTATTTGACTTTTTTCAGCAAAAATATTCTCTGGAAATCATAAAAAACGTAAAAACCATAGAGAAAATAGGTAAGATTGTGCTCTATTTTCCACTCTAAGGTAGACAACTTTACGGTGGAGTCTCCACCTGAAATTTTTATTGCTTTATCAGTCAATACTGGTTTACTGCCGGCAAAATCAAAAGGTCAGTAAAAACGTGCATATCAACTCAAGATTGGAGTCAAGGAACTATTAAATATTTTTGTATTGAGATAAAATAGTTTTCACATTTAGTATTATTTTACAAGAAAGGCACTTTATTTTGACGATTAAATGGCATTTGACAGTTGTCAACTAACTTCAGCCCGTCACTAAAACGCCATAAAGTTACAGCATGTCAAGGGCGTTTTAAGTGGGGGAGTAGAAAAAACAATTTAAAAATTGACCCACTGCTGCAATTTGTTTAATAATGATCTGATACAAGCTAAAATATATTGCAGCATAGTGTTTATAACTTCCTTATTTCTTTTTTTGAAAATCTGCCAATAATATCTAGAACATGCACTATTTTATTCTTATTAGTCATTGTTGTATTAATAATAATTTTACATAGTAATATTTAACACTAAATATTTACTTTACAAAATACCTACTATAAATTTTTCTTCTAAAAAATAATTGTAAGAATGTTATTTTTAACTAAGATGACAAACTTGACCTCAAAAAAATGCATGTTAAAAGAGTTTTATTTGGAAAAGTTAAAGTTTTTTGGAATATTAGGTATGTAAAGCAATCTTAAATTAAAACATAAAACCAATTATATACAATTTAATAATTATTTTTAGAATCAACTAAGCACTAGAATTAAAATAATGTCCCAAATATTTCCAATGAACCCAAAATAAACACTTGTCATAAAAACAAACAAATCAAATATCGGTTATTTTTCAAAAATAAAAGCCGGGTTTACATTGGTTAGCAAAAAACAACCTGTTAAACAAAAAACAACTCAAAAAAATTAAAAAAAAAATTAATATGTAATTCTTACGTTACTCATATCAACTGTTTTGTTTTCCTGATGGTTTTAAGGAAAAAAATTCTGTCAAAACCCGGTGCACATAGCTGAAGAGAACTCAAACGCAAAACTAACGGACGGCGATCCTGCTCGGCTAGCCATTCTAAATAAAGACAATTTCCTTGACACAATGCCAAAATCCACGGGAATATAAATACGACCCGCATACTTTAAGCTTCAATAAGAAGCGGCGGTTTGTGTACAAATTATTAGGTTTTCTCTTTTTGCTTTCTGCTTCAATTTTAAAAAGTCCCTGTTTCGGGTGTATAGCTATAACCGAAAAAGGGACTTTATAGTTCTAAAATATCATACATTTGCCTAATAAACACTTTTTGTGAAATATTTCACTTTCTTTTAATTTTTTACCAAAAGTTATAATAACCTTTTTTGTGAAGGTATAAGTAAATTCTGCATAATTTTTGTCCTTAACTTTTCTCTGTAAAATTGGTTATCCGGTGTTTTCAGAGGTTTTAAAATGTATTGATACATTTTAATTTATTAATTTACTACATATTTTATACATATAAAAATTGATGCCAATTTGCGTAAGTCCACAGGAAAATACCAAAATATTTCACCCACATATATAAATATATATATAATAAAACTGTTTAAAAATAAATTACCAAACTAAAAATACGTTGATTCAAATTATGAATTCAATTAAAGATAATATCCAAAAACAGATTTTTTTCGGTTTGGGAGCAATGAAACTACTTTTTTATAATAAATTATTTTAATAAATATAATTAAGAAAAATAAATTACAATAAACTAAATGATACGAAAAAACGAACTACGAAGTAGGCAACCAGTAATATAGCTCCGACCAGTCCGAATATTGCTAAATATTCAACCACTGATATTTCTTGATCTTGGTCCAAGCACATGGATGTAAGTCCAGACTGTAACATTGTTAAGTTAAAATAAAGTATTGTTGTTATTAAAAAATATAAATAATTTGCTATCATTTGTTTCAAAAAGACGATTTCAAGTAAACTCGAAAATTTACAAACTACCCTATTAAAAATGCCCTATAGAACCCATATTGATCCAGATAAGGAAACTAATATGGATTTATATGGTTCTATATGTCCTATATGGAACGACCTGGTTTACACTTTGGAATCTATATGGTTTAATATGAAATTTCATTTTAAAATGTACAACTTAGAGATTTTTATATGGATTTATATGGTTTCTGTTTTATGTGTCTTTCCATATAGGTTTCCCTATATGGTTGAATATGGAATTCCATTTTAAAATGTATATATATATATATATATATATATATATATATATATATATATATATATATAAACGGAAATTGCATATTAAACCATATGGATTCCCCTATATGGTTAAATATGGATCTATATGGTTATCATTTTTTCATACCCAAACCATATTGGGCCAGATAGAGCTCCAATATGGTTCAATCTGAACCTATATGGCAATCCATATAGAAATCATTTTTCTTTATGGTTTTCCATGTATGGAATTCTATCTGGTTCAATAGTGCAATGCCTGTTTCAAATTCCTATATTGAACCAGATAGAACCATATAGATTTTTATTTTGTGTTTCCCCTATTAAAAATGCTCTATACGATTTCAAGTTTTTAAATTTTTGAATTTATAAATTCAAAAATTGAAAAACTACCCTATTAAAAATGCCCTATAGAACCCCTATTGATCCAGATAAGGAAACTAATATGGATTTATATGGTTCTATATGTCCTATATAGAACGACCTGGTTTACACTTTGGAATCTATATGGTTTAATATGAAATTTCATTTTAAAATGTGAAACTTAGGGATTTTTATATGGATTTATATGGTTTCTGTTTTATGTGTCTTTCCATATAGGTTTCCCTATATGGTTGAATATGGAATTCCATTTTAAAATGTATATATATATTTAAACGGTTATGGTTAAATATGGATCTAAATGGTAATCATTTTTTCATACCCAAACCATATTGGGCCAGATAGAGCTCCAATATGGTTTAATCTGAACCTATATGGCAATCCATATAGAATAGTATATTCTGTAACAAGTTTGGAATACAGCATATTCCGCTCGAGTGAAGAGTTTGTCACACGAGCCGAAGGCGAGTTTGACGGTTTCACGAGAGCGGAATATGCAATTCCAAACGTGTTTCAGACTATACTTTTTCTACGTTTCCAAAAAATACCATAGAAAAATAATTTAATTGGAAGAAAGTGAGGTTGGATCGGTCTAAAATTTGTTAGATATTAAAAACAAAGATGTCGCCACTAGTGTTCATTCTGTCATCCGATGATAGAATATTTCATTCTGTAACACTTTACGGAATATATGACATTCCATAGATAAAAGTGATATTAGAACGGTCAAATTCCGTAATAGGAGTAGAAAAATCATTTTTTTATATGGTTTTCCATGTATGGAATTCTATCTGGTTCAATAGTGCAATGCCTGTTTCAAATTCCTATATTGAACCAGATAGAACCATATAGATTTTTATTTTGTGTTTCCCCTATTAAAAATGCCCTATAGAACCCCTATTGATCCAGATAAGAAAACTAATATGGATTTATATGGTTCTATATGTCCTATATGGAACGACCTGGTTTACACTTTGGAATCTATATGGTTTAATATGAAATTTCATTTTAAAATGTACATTGTACAACTTAGGGATTTTATATGGATTTATATGGTTTCTGTTTTATGTGTCTTTCCATATAGGTTTCCCTATATGGTTAAATATGGAATTCCATTTTAAAATGTATATATATATATTTAAACGGAAATTGCATATTAAACCATATAGATTCCCCTATATGGTTAAATATGGATCTATATGGTAATCATACCCAAACCATATTGGGCCAGATAGAGCTCCAATATGGTTCAATCTGAACCTATATGGCAATCCATATAGAAATCACTTTTCTATATGGTTTTCCATGTATGGAATTCTATCTGGTTCAATAGAGCAATGCCTGTTTCAAATTCCTTTATTGAACCAGATAGAACCATGTACATTTTAAAATGAAATTCCACATTAAACCATATAGATTCCAAAGTGTAAACCAGGTCGTTCCATATAGGACATATAGAACCATATAAATCCATATTAGTTTCCTTATCTGGATCAATATGGGTTATAAAGGGCATTTTTAATAGGGTATATATATGGCATTTTTAATAGGGTAGGCAACAGATGGCGTCGGCTGCATTTAGTTAATCCTATTAAAATATCTAAAAAGCTTCTAATATTTACCCATCCCCCATTTGCGTGGACCCAAATGGCCATTTTGTCCTCCAACAACTCAGTCATGTCCTCCAGCAGAAGATGCAAATCGTCCTGGTGCCCCTGCCTCACGCAATCCACAGCTAAGCCCCCCGCTACGCTGTACACCGCAACTATTTTCCCCCAGGTTGGTTGCGACCTCAGTATGTGGTGGCCGAAAGCCAAAACTATCCCGCTGATGCCGCCTCCGAGTGCCGGCCCCGTGTGCCTCGTGATGTTGCTGTACAGTCGGGGGAATGTCCGTTCTAGCTCGTTGCAGGCGCAGGACAAGCAGGGAAATACTTCGCGAACTACAGGGCCACACCCTAAAGAAATTTTGAAAGTTTTTTGGTAGGGGTTTCATAAAAATATTAAGGGTGATTTTACAGCTTAAAATATAATAGTATACCGGGTGTATCTGAGAATAGGCGCACCCCTGTAACTTTTTTATTTCTTAAGCCTAGTCCAGACCTACATACATTTGCCCGCAAACAAATAAACATTTGTATAAAAACTGTAGGTATAAAAACTGTTTCAAAACTGTTTAAAATTTGTTTTAAAACATTTAAACAAATGTTTAAGGTTTTTTGGTTTCCCGTCAGATCGGGAAACACGTGTTTTTATAGTAATTGCTACTTTGTTTAAACTAAATGTTTAAAGAAGCAAAACACCACACACAAGTGTATAAATGTTTTGTTTGCGGGCAAATGTTTCCAAACATTTGTTTGCAGGCAAATGTATGTAGGTCTGGACTAGGCTTTAAGATAGACACATGAAATTTAGCATGGTTAATAAGAATATAAAATGCCACTTAAAAGAGTACAAAATTAATATTTTGAACTTGGAATCCTGAGAATCCGCCGGAAATTGATGACGAAACTTCAAAAGGTCAATTTGAGGATGGTGTCCGACTCAGAATTTTCTCAGGATTCTAAATATGTAAAAATAAATAGAGCGTTCCATTTAAAAATCGAAAGTTGATATAATTTCCGGCGAAACCGGAAGTTCAAAATATTCATTTTGTACTCATATAAGTGCCCTTTTATATCCTAATTAACCATGCTAAATTTCATGTGTCTATCTTTATAAATAAAAAAGTTACAGGGGTGCGCCTATTCTCGGATATACCCGGTATATACAAGAGCCGAAGGCGAGTTTGGCGGTTTCACAAGAGCGGAATATGCAATTTCAAACATGTTTCAGACTATACTTTTTCCAAAAAATACCATAGAAAAATAATTTAATTGGGATCGATCTAAAATTTGTTAGATATTTAACACAGAGATGTCGACACCAGTGATTATTCCATCATCCGATGATAGAATAATTCATTCTGTAATACTTTAAGGTATGGTTACCATACTATGGTACTAAGACAGTCTTAGTACCATTTCACATTAAAAAGTAATATTAGAACGGTCATATTCCGTAATAGGAGCAGAAAAAAAAGTTCTGAGAAAGGGTAAAAAATAAGAGAGCTACTTCCCTTTGAAGATGAAATACATACATTTAATAGCTCACACGTGCTCGTAGGTACAGAAAAAGACTATTTTATTTTTTCTAATAACTACCAATTATAATTACCTACACAAGTAATATATTTTTTTTTATGTTTTGCCAATGAATAAATTAAAAAACTGGACTGTTAACCTTTACGTTAAAAACAACATCCTTTTTGAATTTGAACGATTTGCAATTATAGGTAGCTTAACCATTAAATGATTTTGTATTTTTTTTATATTTTTTATTTTTCATTTATAATTACTTTTATATCCTATAAATACCCATAATCCTTGCTCATTATTATGATAATATAGCAAATATAGTAAAAACTTAATCGTAATCGTAATACCTGTAAGCGTCCCCACGGCACTCCTGACCCTGGTCAACCCCAATTTCCTATTGAACACTCCCGCCCTCTTTAGTCTACTCCTGACATACAAGGTACACATCGCCCTCCCAATGGCTATAACTTCTTCGGGGGGCTTTCCGCTCCCCATACCCCTCCATCCAATCGTGGTGGACAATTTTCTCGTGACGGCGTCTCCAACATTACTGAACCGTCTCCTAAGAGCGATCTGGTCCAGGTTAGAGTTGGGAGATAGTGCCACCGGGATGCTGAGCTTCCTTCTGGACCGGTAGTTTGAAGGTAATCGTCTATCGCCGTTGGTCATAAAAGTTGCCTCCATCTAAAAAAAAATGAAAATACCTACATTTGATCATGGTACCAAAAGTAACAGAGGGTAATGATCATTACTACCCTGCTGAAAAAAACTGATCGACAAATGATCATTTTTAAAATCTGTCATATTTGACATCTGTCATATTTGACATCTGTCATACTTGACATCTGTCATATTTGACAACTGCCACGTTTGACATCTGTCACGTTTGACATCTGTCATATGTGACATCTGTCATTATGTACCTGGGGTACCTCTGTAAATATTAATAGGGTTTTTAAATTGCAGAAGAGAGTTTTAAGAACCATGTTGTTTCTGAGCAATAGTGTTAGTTGCAGGAGTTTCTTTAAAAAATTAAACATTATGACACTGCCTAGCCTATTTATAAATATACATTACATTACTTTATGCTAAAGATAACATTTTAAACTTCAGTAAAGTCAATAGCCACCACCAATATAATACTAGGAATGCCAATTTGCTCGAAATACCACCTCACAAAACTTCAAACTATGAGAAATGTCCTAAATATATAGCAATAAAATATTTTAATCATTTACCGGATAATATAAAAAATCTTAATGCAAAAAAGTTTAAAATTAAAATTAAAAGTATACTTTTAGAAAAGGAATATTATTCAACCAATGAATATTTGTGTGACCTGGCACTGCTGTGATATTTCTAATTAATGTGATAATTTTGTTTTTTGTTTTGATATTTGTGTAATAGGTATTGTATCGTAATCTACCATATGTCTTGTAAATTTATTTAATTATGTACCCAGTATTGACGTATTCCATACAATGTATTTTGTCGCAGGAATAAAGAGATTATTATTATTATTATTATTATTATGTGTCAAAAATGAATTATGTGAATTTTGAAAATGAGATTTTTAATTTTTATATTACCGACTATGCCATTTTTTTCCACGATTTTTTAATTTATAACTACTGTGCAAATTTGTCCTACCATTTCTTAATTTTGAAGTACTGTGCGAATTTGTCCTAACATTTTTTAATTTATGGTATGTGCTGAAGTTAGTTGACAGTTATCAAATGTCATACAATCGTTAAAATAAAGTGCACTTCTTCTGAAATAATAATGTGAAAGTTATTTTATTATCTTCATACAAAAATAAAAAGTATAAAATAGCTTCTCAACGCCAATACCTATTTGAAAAGTTTATCCACCGTAAAGTGCCCATAAAACAATATTTTCACTTTTACTGTAAAAAAACGGTTGTTAGTCCATTTTCAAAGGATGAATTTTGATTTACACATACAAATTTGACATTTTGCCTGGCATGGTAATACAGATTTCCAAGTTAGAAATTGTTACGCGAGTTACTCTATTTTTTATAGATGTTGCTCTACACAAATATTTAATTTAAATCATTTTTAGATAATAATAAATATTTGTCGTAGAAAAAGTATAGTATGCAACTCGTTTATAAACTTTTCTATATTACTCATTTAATTAAGAACTCGCTCGCAAGCTTGCTTGTACCTAAATTAAATTCGTTGCTAAAATGGCGTTTATTAAACGTGATACATAATTTACTATTATGGTTGTATTACCAAAAGTTACAAAATGAGATTGAAACTCGATCATGTTTTAATGATCAAATATGATCCATTTTGATAAAATAAGATTGACCCTAAATATTTCAGCTGATAATTGAACCTTAACGAAATATGATTAAAACTCGATCATGTTTATATGATTAAATATAATATAATTTAACCTTACAAAATATGATCGAACCTTGATCAATGATCATGTTTTCATGATCGAACATGATCTACTTGGAAATCTGATTGAATATGATTGGACTTGAATGTATATGTTAAAAAAGATCGAGTTTTGATCAGTTTCTTACAAGTCTTGATGAAGAAAGTAATACCCTGGTATATTGATTGATATAAATGATATAAAAAGGGTAGAGATAAACAATTAAGCAATAAAAATCTTAATGGACATGATTATTTACCTTGAGTTTAGCAATTAAGCAAACTCATTATCTTATGCAAATTACAATTTTTTAATATGCGACATCCTGCATTAACATTGCTGAATGAATCAATCGATCACGCTTTTAAATTGGGCCGAATTTCTCCCAAAATGCACTTTACTACCACGTCTTGTAAAACATTTTATCGTGGACACAATTTGGGCCGTACGCGATATCACCTGTCACGATTTTGATTCATCGATTGTTTATATAAAGAAAAAGATTTTTAACAATGGTCAGTTGCAGGGGGGTATAAGGGGAATTTGACAACAGGCAACAGTAAAATAAATCTAGCATGCTTTGAAACCCAAGTTGTTTTTGACAAACCCCAGATATTAACCACGTGATTTGTTGTGATTGGTCTTTTCCAACTTGTTCGTTGATGTTCGGTTTGAGAAATTACAAATGGCCGACAGCGTTGTTAAAGTGGTGTGTACGAAGTTTTATAATCCAAATTTTCTGTGTTTTAGGTAAGTAAACTTGTTAATTTCGGCTTTAACATTTTATTAGGTGTTTTTAGTCAAGTTTGAGTTAGTTGTAGCATCATTACCGCGTTTAAAATAAGAAAATACGTGTGATAAACCGTATCGTTTTTTTTCTGTTTACCGAAAACACATGTAAAAGTTACGATAAAACAAATAAAATTCTTTTTATGTAATGAAACCTATGGCAAAGAGTAAAGACTCATACTCTTTGCTTATGGGTTGTTTAACTAATGCAAGTTTTGATAGAATTTAAATAGTTTTAAAGCGTTTTGATTCAAAACTTTCAATCAAAACAGTTTTTAACGTTTTTTTCTCGACACTAGTTGCTGTTATACAAAATGTTAAAATATACCTATAGGTATATATAATCTTTGTCAAAATGTATGTTTTTGTTAAAATTATTTGATGTAGCTACGCGAAAATTGGACCTGGGTCCAGGGCCCCACTACATTGGCATTTGGTGGAGCGGAGGTTATTGAACGAACAGCCCCCTCATCGGTGGATCGGACGTAAAGGGCCCAACAATTTGGCACTTCTTGTATAGTCAACAGGTTCAACCGATCTCACAGTGTGCGACTTCTTTCTCTGGGGGTTTATAAAAGAACGTTTATGAGCCCCAAGATTTGTACAAGCTAAAGACACGAATTGGAACTGCCGAGTATCTACAAGATGTTTGCAGCTGGAAGAGGTCACATTAAACACTTGTAAGCATACAGTTCAAAACTTGATTATATTACAAATGTTTTGTGCTTTCCATGTTTTTTTTACATAAATATAGCATTTTGAACTACAGGGTGATAATCTTTTACAGTATTTTTATAATTATTTTATTTGAAGGGGTCAGTGCAAGAAGTGCCTAAGTCACATTTTCAATTAAATTGTTATTGTGGCTTCATCTAAGAGTTTTCCAGTAAGTTGAAAACCAGGCAAACTCCCATTGAAGTAAATGCAAACTAAAGCACTTGGGCACATATTTCTGCCACTTTGAAAATACCACCTGAAACCTTACGTGAAACACTGTAAATTGTAAATGTGACTTAGGCTCTTCTTGCATTGATCCCTTCATTTGTTCTATCTGAAAGTCTGACATTTTTAATATACATAAATAACTAGACAATTCATAAGCAAATCTTTTAAAGAATTATTTTTAAAGTTTTTAATTCAATTATTTTTTGCTACAATATAAATTGATTTTAATTTAATATAATTAATTTTAGCTTCTGCAATAATGGAACAATTAGACAAGATTTATCCTGCATGAAGAAAAAGAATGAAAGCTTTACTCGTCAATCCCAAACAGAAATATCTGACCAAATTTTTTTAATAATAGGTAGGTATATTTTTTTTTATTTAGAATACATATTTAGTTACAATTGGTGGTGTGTGAATATTTTTACCAAATAAATTAAGTAGTAATATTTAATTCAAACTTAAAATTAAATATTTAAACTACATAAATAGTTTGAATTATTTGAATAGTTAAATAATTACAATCATAATCTATTCAAATAAGTTAATTAAGGGTTAATGACAAGTAAATAACATTCTTTTTATTTAAAAATAAATTTTAAATTACAATTCCAATGTTCCATTTCTTCAATTACTATTTGAAAATTTTAATTTTCTAATTGAACTATTTAAAAATTTGAAACATTCAAACTATTCAAATAATTCTTGAATTCAATATTTACACATCCATAGTTACAATCCAAATATAAAAAAAGTAAAAGCCTGACCATTAAAGAAAGTACACATTTAGCAATCTGACATTTTTATATTACATACACTTCTGCTTTAAATTATTATTTTGAGGCAGAAATCAGAAATATTTTATTTAGCAAGATACACATTAGGATATTAAAAAAGAATATTTTCACACAAGTTCACCATTATTAGTTTTTATAAGATTTTTAAATTAAAAAATAAACAAAATCATATTTAGTTAGTTACTTAAGCTAATTAGCTTGTTATTGCAATAAACCATTAAATTATTTTTATGCATAAATATTGATACATTATTTTTATTTAATTTTAAAAATTATTAGGTAATATTAATTGTTTTACAATTTAAATTGATTTTAAAATTGGTATTGATTTCAGGTTTGTGTTAATGGAAGACGCAGACGGGACTTGAATTTATCAAACTTCTTTGCAAAAGTACATAGAAAATATTAATTGCAGTTGAATATTCTTCATTGAATCAAGAAAAAGACGCAGGTTCAATCCATGAAACATGAACAAGAAAAAAGACAATTAATACTTAATATTGACCAGAAAGTTAAATCATACATAAAGATTTTAATTTTGCCGAATACATAATTACAATATTTTTAACATTGAAATTTAAGTGGTTCTATTGATAATTAATTTAATTTAAATCAATTTTACTAAAAATTAAATATTCCAAAGAATGTAATTTAATTTTTGCATAAGTAGGAATTCCTTTTTGCCAAAAATTCTATATTTTACAAAACTACAGTATTGTGCTTATTTTAAAAACAAATTATAATCATAATTCCTAAAAATTATAAGAGTATGGTTTGTAATAAGTCTAATTATTGCATTAAACATTTTAGGCATTAGCCTTTTGGTTTATTCCAATAAAGAAATTTAATACTACATTAAGAAATCTGAAAATACCTATAGGTATACAATAACTCAGTATGTTAAAGTTAAAATAATTTTAATTATATAATATACTCGAACTGTTTTAAAAGGTTGTTTTCTAATAAGGACCAATAAGTATTGAACTATTGTTTATCAAGAATTTATCAAATATTTTGATGGTTTGTAATATGTTTTAGAGTTAATTTGTTTTTAAACCTTTGCATTTTTATTAAGAAATCTTAAAAAACCTATAAAAATTGTTATTATGTGACACAAAATTAAAATTTCTGAAAATTATCGCTGTAATCAAGCGATAATTGTCTTGTAGGCATATATAAGAGGGTAATTATCAATTTAATGTCATACTTTTTGATAAATTATACCTAAATAATTATAAATTATTATACATGTTTGATAAACCTTTTTTAAATTTCACTAAAAGTTATAGAATAATTAACTTTGAATTTCTCCTCATTTAAATATTATTTGTTAGTTATACTTTAATTTAAAATTGAATTAAGTGTATATTTTGTTAAATATATTTATTAAAAAAACAAAAAGGTGTGTTTTTCCACTTAATTAGTGGAAAATAACCGAAAATTGTCGAAATTTTATATTTTTTGATTTTTAATGGACAATATTACGTATATAATCCTTTTAAAATCAAAAAAATATAAAATTTAAACAATTTTCGGTTATATTTCCTTGTTTTAAATAAAAATTCAAATAGCCAAACATTCAAATTTCCCGCCGAAAAAAACAACTCGGTTTTCCAAGCCTGCTAGATTTAAAAATCAACCAATGCTTGTTGCCACTTTTGACTACAGCGCTTTTAATTCTCTTATGTTCTGTGGTCAGTTGTGCAGACATTATGCTACTGTTAAGATTTATATTTGTATTTGGTTTGGTTTACTGTGATGTTAGCCATGTGGGGTATAATTACCCCCCTGTGCAATTCGATGAAACCACCACCGTGGGTTATGTTTATTTACCACCCCAAATACCATCGCTTGTTCCAACGTATTTACCACCACCCCCCGATATTTTTAATGACGACGATACGATTGTGGTGCAACCTCCAACGCTATATGGACCACCAGGCCCTCAGGTCAAAGTCCAAAACATGTCCTGTGAAGTTGATACTAAATTTCAATCGATGATACACATATCGGGTCGACTTGCTGGCTTACCTCCACTAATCGCTGAAGATGGTGCGGACAACTGCGTGCAACACATACAAGGCACCAACAACTTCTACATAGATTTAACCAGCGCCAAAAAAATGCAGGAATGTGGTGTTGCGACATGTGAAAAAGGTAAAATGTGTGTTCACTTAAGAATGCCAACTGTGAGACATCTAAAACTTCCCGAGGATAATTTGGTTACTCTTCAATGTGCCCCCCAGGAAAATGTAGCAGTACACACTAAACATATAAGATTGGGATCCAATATAGTTAGGTAAACAACTTATATGTTAATTATTCATTAAATTGCAGTGTCGTAAGCCAGTAATTTAAAATTCTATTTATTTTGTAATTTTGTTACAACGCTAATTGTTTTTCCAGTAAGAATGGTAGAGGTAGATCTGTGAATAATAACATTATCGCATCTGGCGGTAGCCAAAGAAACTTTGAAACTAAAATCAGTTTGTTCAGAAAATCTTTAGGAAGCGATAATTTTAATCAGTTGGTACTACCTGGAAGTGCCGTACATTTAGGGGAGGATTTAGTTTTACGAGTAGCAGTACAAGATGGAGATGGTTGGCATTACAGCAGGATGGGTTCAGTTTTGATACGAAGCGCGTCAAGTCCAAAATCGATAAATTTATTAGACGGAAACGGTTGCTTGATACCAACTATGAAAAATGTTTGCCCCAACCAACCAAGCCAATTAAGTAATTTGGTCACAGTGTTGCCGTTTAGGGCTTTTTTATTTCAGGGTGTTTCAAAGGATGACGTGATGTTGCTTTCTGTTAACATGTTTGGTTGTGTTAAAAGGCAGGATTGTTTTCAGGTTGGTAACCAGTTTATAATTTATAAAAGCATTATGATAATTACTTTTGTGTTATTAATAATATCTAATGACATAATGTAGTTAAGTTGTTTTGATACAACCGTTTATAATATTTTTATTGCATCGGTGAACATAGTCAAATATTAATATCTTACTTAAACATATAAACATTAATTAAACTGTGCTAATATTTATCAACGCTTTCATAACAGAAATTTCAAATCCAGCACGAGCTTATATTAATTAACAAACTTTAACTAGCCGCCTCATTAAATTAATAAATCAATACTTTGTATCCACTTAATCTACTTTAGCTAATACCTACAAAAACTCATATTTAGGTCAGAAATATCGTTGTTATTCTCTAAAAATGAATTAGTCAAAAAATGCTATTTTAATAGTTATTAGTGGGTGCTTTTTCACTTGTACCATGGTTAACCATGGGATACCATGGTATCCCAAAATTTAACAGTAAATTCTTATGTAAAATTGTCCCCTGAATCCGAAAATGTCAAAAGTTAAAAAAGTAGAACAGTTTTTGAGATATAGTTAATTTTCCATTTAATATGGAATTGACTATATCTCAAAAACTGCTCCACTTTTATAATTTGACGGTATTTTCGGATTCAGGGGACAATTTTACATAAGAATGGCTGTTTAATTTTGGGATACTATGGTATTCCATGGTTAACTATGGTACAAGTGAAAAAGCAGCCACTAATAACTATTAAATTAGTCATTTTTGACTAATTTATTTTTAGAGGGTAGGTATATTTAATCTGTGGTCTATGTTTATGTTAATTTGTGTTCATACTTTACTCACTAAGTATTCGTGTAGACGTATCAGAATGTCGACGATATCTTCATCTAAAGAATCCCTTATGTCGTAGTTTTTGATTTTAGAGTTTTATATTATTAATTTTCTTAATATACACGTTTAATTATGAATGACTTTTAGAAGTTATCCGATTAAAAAAAAATTAAAACTAGAATTTTTTGGACCTGCCTCAATAATGATTAATTAAAATGCTTTGCGTGTAGTTATAATAAAAATGTTTCGACAAGAAATATTTTTAAATAATGCACAAATCGCTAAAAATAAAAAAAATCGTTTATTTGGTTACAATTTTCTATCAATCACCTTTTTGTAAACAACTATTTTATTAATAATTAACTTAAATTAAATCATTGTCCCGGCGCATCCGCCATTTTTGCAACTAAACTTAATTTTATTATTTTAGGGTGGTTTTTGTGAAAATCCAATAAAATCAGGATCACGTTTCAGGAGGGGTGTAATAAAGAACGAAACGAATCTAATTAATAAAGTAATGGAAAAAGATATAGAGAATTGGGAAACCCAATTTGAATTTAGAGTATCGTCCGAACCCGAGTCAACCGAGGAAAACGTTGTAAAAAATATATTTTCAAGTGAATTTATTGTTTTAACGTCTTTGTTAAGCATGCTTGTATTGGTTATTTTTATTGTTTATGTCGGTAGAAGGGTTTTAAATTTAATTAAAAAATAGTTAATATTTATACATGCATAGTTGATTTAAATAAAACATTTTTTCATCAAGGCAGTGTTGCTTAATTCCTCCAAATGTAATATAACCTTATCATTATTCTAAACCTATTGATATGTCCGACACGCCTATTACAAGGTTTATTAACAATTGCTTAAGCTCTACTTAAAAATCATATTGTTGTGCATTACATTAATTTAATTAAATTAAATATATATACACAGTATGGGTTACAAAGAGGAAAACAATTTATTTTTTCTACTACCTTACTAGAAAACTTAATTTTCTACCCCCGAGCGAGGGAGGAAAATGCCACTTTTCCTCCCCGGGAGGAAAAAAAATTTCTTCCACCTACTGTCATAATTTTATAGCCCCATACCGGGTTAGTAAAAGGAACCGGAACGCTTAAAATGTCTTAAAACCGTTAAAAGGTAATAGAAAAAACTATATACATACCTCAGGAGGAAAATGCGTTTCCTCCCTTGAATATTTAATGCCCTTTGCTTCGCGTCGGGCATCAAACTATTCGCGGGAGGAAAAGCACTATTTTCCTCCCATGGTATGTAAATAGCTATTACATTTCTCAGAAAAATTTATTTCTGATAAAAGTTTTTGATTGATTTCAAACCCCCAGAATATGCAACACTTAAATTTATTATGTGTATTTCCTAAAATTGTTGACCATCCGTGGATTATTGTATTAAGAGTAAGATCCTCATTAAAAATTTTCATTTTCACATTAGTCCAATAAAAAACATTTTGTAATTCGCTAACAAATAAAGCTTTATAACTTATTTGTCATATTAAGAGCTAGGTAATAATATAAAGTATATCCCGTATTGTCTAGTGTTTAGGATACCTAGTAGTTATCCTAAATACTAGACCATACGGGATATACTTTATATTATCTAAAAGACTAAAGAAAACTTTTTGTAGATTTCTAGATTTGTTAATTTCTAACAAAAATATGTACTACTGTATGTACTATATGTACCACTATTCATCGTTTAAGTTTAATAACTTGGCAACGCTGCGTGCCTGATAAGTCGAAATATTACAAATCTTAAACCGGTTGTTATGGAAACAATTCAAGACAGCTGAGGTTGACAGATGTATTTTCTGACAGTTTGTGTTAAAAAATAAAATTTTAATTAGGTATCATAACTTTGTTTTCATTAACAAATCTTTTTGGAGTGGGATTTTTGGGACACCTTGTATTTATTATAGTAATTTACAAATCAATTGTGGAATATCAATACAAATCTAGTCCTATTTAGATTTGTTGTAAACAATTTTATTAGTATTATTTATCTATTTATTTATTAATTTTTTATAATGGACCATTGTCTTGCCCAATTTAAATTAAATTGACTGTATGTACATATATAAAACCATTTAACATAAAAGCCGGTAATGATGAATACGGTAAATTACTATTGTTATGTAGTTTTTTATTATAATTTAATGTTTTACATGCTTTTTTATGTAGTAATATTAATTTAATTATACCTTGCAAAAACAAAAAAAATGGACTTGGATCCTATTACAACAAAAAAATAATTACCCATTTTTTTTTCCGCGGTATTTAAATTTTTATATACTTTCCAGTGATTGAACACCCTGTAGAATAATTTTGCTGAACAACAACACTATTAATATTATCTATTATTTATATTGAGTCCAAATAAAGAAGAATAATTTTTTTTTAATTTATCAAAGTTAATTGGTCGAATACCAAAGGGAAATCTAACATGGTATGTCTACATGGTAATTAAGATAATATTTATGACATACCACTAGTTAAAAATATATTACATTAGATGGTACCCAAGTTTTTATGTTGGAACTTCAACAACAAACATTGTAATATATTATAATAAATCATTAGAAGACATAATCAAATGTTAATATTGTAAATTTTAAAAATTGAAAGGTTATCTTTATTGCAGTAAAATCACTTAATAAAATACATTTCCCCATTCAAATATCCAGTTATTCTATTGTATAAACTAACTATAGTTAGACCTTTATACAAAAAAATTCTTTTAATGCATCACGACTCATTGGTATCAATTGAAGTACATTTCAACAAACGTATTTATTTATTTACTTACATTAATAAAAATTGCACTATACTACACAAAACACAGTAGGTTTAAATTTGTGTAGCTTCCTAGTCATAGTTTTTTCTATATAGCTATGACCCCTTAAATAACGACAAAACTAATTTTGTTCATGGCATTAAATGTTTGAAAGTTAAAAAGATACTGAAGTAGGTTCATCGTGTACGCGGCAGCGTCTAGTAATAATGGAACCCGGTATACAATAGAATATTATTCGATATTGGAGCAAAAGCTATCGAATAGCGCGCGCTCACCAAACGCAAACTTGGACGAAAACTCACGCGAATTTATGTGATAAGATTGTGTTTACCATGATTTATAACAAACAATGATTAATAAAAATTGCTTTGGCATGATGTAGGATAACAATTTTAATAATTGAATTGAAAAATTATATTTAATATAATAATAATAATTTTCCTAATTAAACTTAACTTATACATGGGTCATTATACTATTAAGGCTCTCTGCCATTTGTCAGTGGTAACATTTCTTATTAAAAAAATAATAAATTAAGATAACTAATATATATCTATATTCTAGTTCGAACTAGATTCATAAATAAGAACTTAAAATAACAACATTTTTCAATTAAATATAAAAATATATAATAAGTCAGCATCACATTCTATAACCTCATGTCCCCATCATATTGCAATAGTGAAAACAGCTTTGTTATAAAATACACTGGAGCTTAGCATTATAAAATAACTCTGTAACCCATGTAGTTCATAGCTGTGGCACGAGATGGCGCCGCGGCTGGCAATGGTATCGCTATTGTTATTTTGCGCGTTACAAGCAAGCAGCGTGTGTTTTTGAAGGATATCTTTCGTTACGGCATTTACTCATGTAAAGTAAACCAATTGTTTTATGTGCATTTATTGTGTCACTTTAAGCGAAACTTTACTGCTGAGAGTAGCATTAGAATTACCTTTAGTTTGCCTAAATAATATTTACTTACAATGGATATGAAAATATGAAATATTTATTTTTAGAGGTAGATGGGGCTAAAAAGTATAATAACCCACATATGTATGAGTTAATAATCAACTTAAATAAATTTAAGTTTCCGCCTTTCTTCTTTATTTTATTTATTTAAGACCGGATGCTATCAGGAGAAATGACGAAGATTTATCAAATTTTTGGAAATAAAACAAGAAATTATAATTCAAAATGGATAAAGGGAAAATAAACCAAGAAAAAACAAGATCAAAGATCCATGGTAAAAAAACTAAATAAAAAAGTGGCCATGCAAAATTAAAATGAATTAAATCATATTTATTTATACTCCTATTGCATAATTTAGTTTTTTTTTCGAGAATATTGATAAACATTATATATTCCTTCTGTTTTAAAATGAAATAGTCAAAAATATGCTACTTATATTATTAAAATAGTCCCCTGAATCCGAAAATACCGTCAAAAATTATGAAAGTGGAGCAGTCAATTCCATATTAAATTGAAATTATCTCAAAAACTGTTCTACTTTTTTAACTTTTTACGACATTTTCGGGTTCAGGGGATAATTTTGCATAAGAATTGGCTGTTAAATTTTGGGATACCATGGTATTCCATGGTTAATAACCAAGGTACAAGTAAAAAGCAGCCACTTATAACTATTAAATTAGTCATTTTTGACTAATTCATTTTTAGAGAGTAAACTCTATTTAATTGAACTGCGGCAGTCGTGGTAAAGAGATTATAGCTTTTTTTATCTATTTGAATAAAGCTTAATCCAGGTTTTTCAAAGCTTTGCCGTCAAATTATATTTGTGTTTAAATATTTAATATTGTAGTGATATTTTTAATTAATTCCTAGAATGCTTCATCAAAACTTGTTCTATTTTAAGCAAATTTCAAACACTCAACACTTGGAATATTTTTTATAATAGGCAACTTACATTACAGTTTATTTCTCATTCCCATAACATTTTAAGTAGGTAGCTGTTTTATTTTTATTCCATTTTTAGTCAAATTTTATCGAATATTATTCTTAAAATTTCAATGGTCGTTTTTTATTTTTAGATATCAACCCCTTGGAGCAGATTTTTTTGTTCTGATTATATAAAAGTATTAAAATATTCATCATATATTTGCAAAACACACAGGGTTATATTGTTATTTTACTTAGGTATAATTATTATTCATGTGTCACAAAACATCGATAAAATAGAACAAGCGTTGAAATGAGAATAGACGGTGTTTATCGGTATGGCTTTTGTTTTGTATTTAAGTTATTGACTTTATTGTTTTGTTTTTTAATTAAAAAATATATTTAATTAAACGGACTAGTGATTCCCACGCAGGCCCGGATTGGGCCGGGGGGCTAGGGGGCAAAGCCCCCAGGGCCGCTGCCCGGATGGGCCGCCAAGGCCGTAATATAATATAATATGAATGCTTTATAAAATTAAAAGGGAAAAACTTCTCCAGAAGAAGTTTTCTCATCTATGAATTATCCTTAGGTTTTGATAACTTTTACCATAGATCATTAAAGTTTCTGTGAATTTATTTTATGATTTATTTCCAAATAAAGGCACAGTAAACAGTTTACTGTTTTTGAGATGACTTTTTAAAGTATGTAATTTCGGTAAAAGATGGCGCTACAGCCCTCTGGCTACAAACGCGCGTGTGTAAAACCTACAATTGTTGTGTTTTATTTTGCTTAAATATTGAATGTGCAAATCTTGATGTGTACTAAAGGTACAACTATTTATAAAATATACTTTTTTAAATATTCACTACAATTTAGTACAACTGGTAATAAAAACCAAGTGGCCCCCTACAGACAAAGTTACGTATCATTAAAAGTTGATATTTTAAGCAGAGACAATACTTTTAAGTAAAGTTATTTATAATATCGACATGGTTTTTTATTTTTTTATTGTTGTATGGTAAAACTTGTATCGTATCGGTGTATTACTCTGGCTGCGTTATAAGGAAAATTAAAAAAAAAATGAATAAACGTGTAAAAGATGGAGCTGAAAAAGAACGAGAAAGAAAAAGGAAGAAAAGGGAAAATGAAGCGGCACAGTGTCATAACATCGGAGATTTGTTCAAAGCTATTAAGGTAAAAGTGACTTTTTATTGTTAATTTTTTATTATTATAATCTTTATGTATTATATTCGTTCCATATTGAATTGATGTAATTATTATCTTAACATTATTAAACACTTAATCTACAACGCAAAAAAATACCTCTTATTCAAAATGTACCGTTGTAAAAAAAATAACAAAAAAAGGTAATAAACTTCTGGTTGTGCAAAATATTAGTCAGTGGTTTACGTGTACGTGTACGTATTTTGTTTGACATATGAAATTATTTTTTATAGAAAACAGACCATAATACGGATAAAGTTGATGATAACGCTAAAGACCCAGCATACCCCTTTACCTCTACTTCTACTTTTGTAGAATGTGAAAAAAATACAGAATTTGAAGCATGTGACCACGGCACTCTATGCGATATAAATATATCGGACACTGATGATGCCTCGCAATTTTTTCTGCAGAAAAAATTGCGAGGCATCATCAGTGTCCGATATATTTATATTACCAGGTAACATTTCTTTTTTGCTTTATTTAAGTATTTTTATCTTCTTTTAATAACAAACTTCTAGACAGTCGAGCAGTCGCTAGCATCGATTGAAAATAAAAATACTTTGGAAATTACTGAAAATGAAAATCGAGAATGTGGTATCGTTGAGAATTTTAAAAGGCCATCTAAAAATGACTATTATTCTTTTTTCAAAATTCATCCAATACAACCTACTGATAAAGTTAAATTCAACCCAAGTTTGGCCTATTTTCGAGAACACCTTGACACCAAAAAAATCAGAAGACAGTGGATCTCATTTTGCGAACAGAGTAATAATTTTTTCTGCTCATTCTGCTTAGCCTTTAACAAAGAACCGAATTCATTCACGAAAGGCTGTAAAATTGATCCTCACAGAATATATGACCGAATAAGAAAGCACGAAAAATCGATTGCTCATCAAGCATCAGCAGAATCCTTTTTATTGCAAAGTAAAATGAAAGATATATATAGCTTGTGCACCGATACCTCTAAAAAATCACAAGAAATTAATGAACGGAGGGACATCTTAAAACGGATTGTTGAAACGGTTAAAACTTTAGGAAAACGAGGTCAAAGCTTCAGAGGTGCAAAGGAGGCTGAAGCTGCCTATACTTTGGATGATACCTGTGCTGACCACGGTAATTTTTTGGAGGTTCTTTTGTTAATTTCTAAATTCGATCCTATACTCAAAGTCCACATCGATAAATCGATAGAACTAAGCCGTAAAGCACACCTTAAGAAAACTGACAAAAATCGACCTGGCCGTTCTGGATCGATCAATACATTTTTATCGAAAACTACCGTCAATTATATCATAGAGTCAGTATCTTCGTTAATAAAAAAGAAGGTTTCTGAAGAAATCAATAAGGATGGAATGTTCTATATCCAAATTGATTCAACTCAAGATATCAATGTTCATGATCAGCTGAGTGTTATTGTAAGATATGTTTCGGAAGATGTAAAAGAGAGATTGTTTGGAATCATAAATTGTACCTCTAGTACAGGTGCCAACTTATACCAAATTGTAACGGAATTACTTGTTAAAAATGGCATTGATATGAAAAATTGTATTGGTTCTGCTACCGATGGTGCCTCAAATATGCAAGGCCAGTATAAGGGTTTTTCGGCATATATGGAGAAAAATTTTAATGGCCAAGTGCATGTTTGGTGTTACGCACATGTACTTAATTTGGTGATGGCTGACACGACCAGCATTTCCGTTGAAGCAATTTCGTTATTTGCTATTATTAACCAATGTGCAGGATTTATTCGTGAGTCTTATAAAAGGATGGCAGTTTGGGACACCGTGACTGATAAAAAAAAGAAAATGTTGTCTTCAATTGGAGAAACTCGTTGGTGGGCAAAAGATAAAGCTCTAACAAAAATGTTTGGACATTACAATAATCCAAAAAATGCAGCTTTTGTAGAGATTATATTAACCCTAGAGGAAATTGCCAGTTCATCCAATTTCGCAAACGAAGCGCGTTTCAAGGCAAAGTCCATTGCTGACTCACTGAAAAAATTTGAAGTAATACTAAGTGCTCAAATCTTTTTAAAAATTTTTGAATCGACAACTCCATTATCCAAATACCTTCAAACAAACGGAATGAATCCTATTATGGCATTTAAAATGGTTGAAAAAACCATAACCACCCTCAAAACAGACTCAAGGAGTTTTGAAGCAGTTTTGGTAGCTGCCAAAAAATTTGTCCTTTGGGCAAGCCGAAGAATGGATGATGAATCCGAAGAAACCGCGACAGATGTTGATGATGATAATAATGACCCTCTCGTTGAAGTGGAAAGAGAACCATATTTTTCGTCTAATTCTGCTGCAAAACGAATTAAAAAAAGAAAAATGATGCCTGGGGAAAAAAGTAATGATGAATGTATCGCTGATCCAGAAAAGAGATTTGAAACATTTACAATGTTATTTATGACAATGCTTTGCAAAGTTTGGAAAACAGATTCACAGGCCACCAAACATTATTTTTGAACCTTGCTTGGCTAGATCCGTCCTATTTTGGAAAAATTGATGATTTGCCACTTGATTCATTTCAAAATATTGCGGATCAAATAACAAAACACAGTGGCAATAATATTGTGACGTCAGCAGAAATTTATAGTGAGCTGAAAGATTTTGCGAAAAAATGGAACAAGATGAAAGAGATCTTGGTAAATAAAAAGAGCAAATCTATATTGAAGGAAGATGAATCCCAACATCTCGCTGTAGCTATTTGTGAAACATGCAAAAATTGCGTTGTGTGTTGTTTTCAAGTTTTGCTCCAATATAAATTACATACAATGTCTTACAATAATTTATATAACGCTTATAAATACGTTTTAACTTTGTCATGTACCCAGGTTTCCTGTGAAAGAACTTTTTCAAAGTTAAAATTTGTACAGAATAGACTAAGGAGTTGTCTTACACAAGAACACTTGGATGCCTTACTGCTGATGTCCGTTGAAAAAGAAATTCTTGTAGATATAAATACTGATGTGATTATAGATAATATTGCCACCAAAAGCGAATCTTTAAAAAAATTATTAATTCTTTAAAACTTAATAAAAAACATTCATTTCTTTCAAATTTTTTTATTGTTACAAAAAAATTGATGTGGTTTAAGGGCCGGTTTATAATCAAAGCCCGGGCCGAAAAATTATCCCAATCCGGGCCTGTTCCCACGATACCAACGAGGCGAAACTTTCCGATGAAATAAGAAGTCTTGTATAAGTCATATTTGACTAATTGTCATAGCGAAAAAGCAGTCACTAATATTTAGTCAAATTCTACTGAATGAAATAGTCAAATTAGTACACTCACAGGCAAAATAATTATAATTATCGATCGATCGATATAATCGATATAATCGATCCACACAAATTTTCGATGAATTTCAATCCCAAATAACTTTTTTGTTTGATTTCGGATTTAAACAAATATTAAAGAATATTGTAGATACATTAATGGAGAATCGCTCACATTTTAAAAATTACTAAAAAATAGACTTACGTTTATAATATACAGGTTTAAACAAAAAGATGTTGTTTACCATAAGTTTAAGACACTCTGTAGAGTGGCAAAACCGTATATTGTTCTAAATTAAGTTTTAATTAACAAGTCACATCTATTTTTAACAGTTTTGTTTTTGGTTCACCTTGATATATTTATTTTTGTGGAAAATATGGATTTTTTTAAAAAAACATTGCAATTTCCAATATTTTCCTGTATGAAGAACTAAGGTTGCTATGGTCCATCCATAGCCTATGGAGGATGACAGTGACAGTTTTGTTGAATCATCCCATACTTGGACATGTCATATACATCTTTCAAAAGCTATCAAATCGTTTTTTGTAAATTAATGTGTTAATTTTGAGGTGTCTTCTTAGTTTTAAAAATGTCTCCGACTGATGTTGCCCTTTGTACTTTACTTCTTGTGACGTTTAAAACACTTGCCACGTAATACGGTGACCGTCCATCCTGGATTAAATTAATGGCTCTGGCAACATCAGTCGGAGACATATCCATTTTTTAAAGTAAGAAGACACCTCAAAATTTAAAGTTAATTTGCAAAAAACAATTTGATAGCTTTTAAAAGCCGTGTATGACATGTCCAAGTATGGGATGATTCAACAAAACTGTCACTGTCATTCTCCATAGCCTATGGATAGCAACGTTAGTTCTTCATATAGAAAAATATTGGAAATTGCAATGTTTTTTTTAAAAATCCATCTTTTTCACAAAAATAAATATATCGAGGTGAACCAAAAACAAAACTGTTAAGAATAGATGTGACTTGATAAATAAAACTTAATTTAGAACAATATACGGTTTTGCCACTCTACAGACTTAAACTTATGGTAAAAAACATCTTTTTGTTTAAACCTGTATATTATAAACGTATGTCTATTTTTAGTAATTTTTTAAAATGTGAGCGATTTATCTACAATATTCTTTAATATTTGTTTAAATCCGACATCAAATAAACAAGTTATTTGCGATTGAAATTCATCGAAAATTTGTGTGGATCGATTATTTTGCCTGTGAGTGTATATTAAAATTTAAAAAAATTCTAAACCAGCCGGGGTTTGAACTCGGGTCTGTCGCTTTTTCAAGCGGATGTTATAACCAATGAGCCATCAGTCACTTTTATAAAAACAGTTTTATCTGTCTATATATAAATATTGTGCATAATATTTTTTGTGTTGCTGTTTTGAGCTAAACTTTTTACATCTTTGTTTGTTTTTAAGGGTCATTTAACCATGGAGCCTATATGTATTTAACTCAAACAATAATTTGTTGTTGGCCGCAAACGATTAAAGAAATTAGTTACTCTCAGAAATAGTCAAAGATGGTGACATCTTAAATTAATCAAACTTTAACTATTTAAGTAGTTAAAAATAACTATTTAAAAGTGAAACGATTATTTTATTAGTAAATGCTGGTACTAATTCAAATAGTAGAATTTTGACTATTTCATTTTAAGAGATTACATATAAAAAAAATCATCAAAATCAGATGAACGGTTCGCGAGGAAATCAACATTAAAATTGTTGACTATTTCTGGTGGCCGGTTTTTTTGTCGTTAAGTGTATGTTTCTACAATAAATAATGAAAACACACTTACTAGTTATTAAAATTAAATTACATCAACATTTTTATAAATAAAAAAAAATGTATCTTAACAAAAAGAGGTATAAAAACGACACAATTTGAGATTTCAGATTTGTATATCTCAAATGTAAAAAATCCAAAAGTGTCAGTTTTGTATTTGATACCTAAAAGATCATCCTCAATTTTTTGTATAAAAAAAACCGTTCATTTGTCAGTATTTGTGTTTTATGTTGTACATCGTCAAGTTTTCGCAAAAATTGTTGAGTCATCATTTAAGCTTGTCGTCACTTTCTTCAAAATGTTAAAAGATAAATTTGGGTATTAATAAAAAACAAGTTAAAATTGTAACATAATTTTATTAAAAACGTTACAGTAGAGTAGGTTTATCAAAAAATAAATATACAAAATTACAAATACATTTATACAATCAATTAAATCTACATTGGGGGGATGGTAGGGAGAAAAATAGAATCGTGAAATGAATCAGTGAAGGTGGAAAAAAATTACTTAAAGACGAAGGCCTGGGTTTGTGGAGGCGACGTACTGAAGAAGCTCATCGGAATCCTCGCAAACGATGGGTTTTTCGTGGTAGCAAGCCACGTCGTGCCACGCTATGCCGTCGTTGTAGACGTTGTTAAGAATGGAAAGGCAAGATTCAGAGGTGCCGTTGATATCGAATTCGGCGTTATCGGGTTGCCTTTGCTTCTTGTGTCCGGTTTGAGACCATGGGTTGTAGCCGAACCCTGCTGGGGTTTGGTTGGTCGGGTAGATCTTCTCGCGGTTTGCGGACCAGAACCACCCGAAGATGTTTTTCGGTTCCAAATCGGTACGACCCTCACAACCCTTGAAGTCGCAGAGACGACCCGATGTCCAGATGTATGGAACGTCATCTGAAAAAAGATAATAATTAGATTATACACAGTATAAAATATTTCGGTGTAAATGAAGTGGTAAAATCATTTGGTGTTAATATATACACTAAAATTGGTCAAAAATATTAAGTGTTTATTGGGGTAAAATTAATTCGTGTTAATTTAAATTCATTTATCACAGCACCGCACAGTGGTCTGAGAGGCAAATTTACCTACAAATTCTCAAATTTTGTAATTACAAATGGAATATAAGTACAAGAGAGTTATGCAAAAATGAAAAATGGCCGACAAATTACTGCTAACCTGGTCATAAAAGTAATATATTTTTTAAATTTGACAATAATTATTGCAGGTATGATACGAAAAAAAACATGTTTTTTAAAAACTCTTGCTTGTTTCAAATAAGATTCCTACACAAACATTTTGAATTAAATGTACAGGGTGCTCAGAAAATAAAAAAAACCCAAAAAACTAGAAGTGCGTTTTATGGAAAAATGAATTCTTTTTGAAAATATTTTATGGTTAAAAATTAAGACTTTCATAAAAAGATGAATTATTTAAAAATATATATATATCAAAATAAGAGAGAACTGTGGTAAGATATTCGTAACGGAATCGCAAAAAATCATTCTTCATAAAAACTGCTGCTTGTATTTAAAAATGAGATTCTTAACAAACATTTTTAATTAAATGTCCAGGGTGCTCAGAAAATAAAAAAATAGCAAAGTGCTTTAAGAGGGTAGTACAATAATTATTGTTCTCATTTTTAAAACAAGCATACTCTTGCAAGAGTATTTAACGCATAATAAAAATAATAAGTTTTTCTATTGTCAACCATCACGATATTGGCTAAAAAGAAATATGGTGAAATGTAAAATGCATGCTATTTTAATTTAAGACCATGGTTTTTAAATTAAAATTCAGTAATCTGGTGAAATGGTGCAATGTGACAGTGGATGCAACTTATGTTATATTTTACGTTTTTTGAGCTACTTAAAAATCATATTTAATATACCTAATAAGCTAAATATGGTTTTCCACAAACTAAAAAAATCTATATATCACTACTTTTCATTTAATTATGAAAAATTATTAACACTTCTTGGGTATAAGAATACTTACACCTAAATAGTGTTAATAATTTTTTTTTAATTTTATGCCAAAGCCTATTTGTATTCCTATCTAAAAGTTTGTAAGTAATATAAAATATACTTTATTTTAATTACATGCTGTGTTTAATATTAAAACCCCCACCATTTTTAACACCTACCTGTGTAGTAAATTACACCGAATTGAGCATTTTCTACTCTTGAATGGAGTTCTTTTACCAATAGTGTGTGTTGATTTTACCCCGAAGAGTGTATTATATTTGATAATTTTTACACTGTTACGAGTTTTTTGTACGAATAGTACGTGTAGATTATTAACCAATTAAAAAGGGTCAAATTTACCAATTTCTAGGGTGGACCTATTTATGTATATAGACCACTTTTGGTGTTGTTTTTAACCAGAAATTTTATGTGAATTTGATCCACATTTTACTAAATAATCTCACAACATGCCACTGTCTTTACTAGGTATTACTTAAGATGGGTGTGAAGCAATATTAATATAATAATCGTGATCTCTTCATCACACGTACACGTTACATCATGCATAACAAAAACATTTGCACATCTCATTATACTCTCGTAAATCCCAGCAAGCATTGTTTGATATACTGTATTGTCATCAAAGCTTACTTTGTTGGATCAGTCTGAAGATCATGTTGTTTTCCTCCTGGGTCTCCATGGAAACCAAGTCCATGCAGTACTCCCTGCAGATGTTTCTACCATCTAGCCAGTCGACTTTCCTGTTGGCAAGGGTGGGAACGTGGCCGCTGTAGAAGTAGTTGTGGCCTCTAAAGAAGAATTGTTTTGGTCCTAAAAAGAAGAAAGAATTTCATAATTTTCATTCATTTTTTATTTAAAAAATACTTAAAGTTGTTAAATTATTCTAAAACTGTTGGGGTGTCTCAAGGAACTGTTTTGGGACCATTATCGTTTATTCTTAAAATAAGTGATCCACAATTCTTACTCCAACATTTTCTTTTGTTTTTGCTTTACGTTATATAATAATAAATAATTATCTATTATAATTTTTTTCTTTTAATATGCAAGCACATCTAGCACTTAACATTCTGCTCAATTAGATATGTATTTTTGTCAAGGATTTTAAGAGCAATAGTTTATAATCATCGATAAAAAGAACAATGCTTAATTAGTAATTTTGCTCGTAATTTCACGTTGTTTTATTATACTTTTTGTGTAAGGTTAACAATTAACAATTTACTGCATACATCTTGTTTTGCATATTTAATATTGCATTAAGAAAAGTTTAATATTCGTACCAAAATTGAATAGGTTGTTGATTAAAAATCTATTTGAAATAGAATAATACATTATAACTTTTATACCAAAAGTTCAAGTCTGTACTTAACATATACGACTCCGTAAGGCATGAATACGTGTACACAGTTTATGATGTAATTTCTATAAAAAATGCTTAACCCAGAAGATAAATTATATAATAGTCATTGAAGAATATGGGACACCAATTACAAAGTATCGATAAATACGTAAATTACCTGCTGAACTGATAAGAAGTAAGAAAGTGCAAGTCCACTTAATAAACTTGTATTTTAGCTTTGAGCAAAGTGTACAAATAATTTATACAAATTTTTCTTTATGTTCCTTTATAATGAAATCCAAACCATATCAATTGATCACACAAATCAACAAATCGTCATAAATAATAGCGCCATTAATTTTTATCCAAAAATTATACACGTAACTAAAAACAACAACATCCTTTCAAATATCACAAGCTTGTGAAAAAAACTGAAATTTCCTGTTTGGTTCGTGACAAGAACAAATCCGTTTTTTAATGCGTTTGTTTCTTAATTAAATCGTTTTGTCCATGGAGAAAGTAACGAAATAACATGAATATTTCTATAAAGATTATCGATGCAAAATGTATACGACAGGACAACGTGTTTTGGAGACATTTCGGCTTTCTCGTTCGATTATGCAAAGAGATATAAGAATTTAAATTTTACCGTTTTATATAAAACTATAAGAAAATAGGTTTGGCATGCCACAGGAATCTCTCCTAGGACTCTTGATGTTATTTGAGAATTTATATATTTTTGGTTATGTTAAAGGCTCTTACAACATAAATATTTATGTTTAAATTAAGACGTACCACAAGGACCTGTTTTTGGGCCATTGTTGTCCAATCTTTTTACTTAAATTTTCAGAAAATCCTGAAAAACCCAATTAAATAGAAAACATTAAAATACTTAAAAAGATTAAAAATTAAAATTTAGGATTTATTATAAAAAATAAATTAATAATAAAATATATAGAAAATCATCCCTTTGCCTATGGTAACTATGACTTAAGTAACACTGTTTAAAACTAAAATTAAGGTGTGAAACAAGGAGCTGTTTTAGGGTCACTTTTGTGCCTTTTTACCTTTTAAGTACTCAAATGTTTAAAAATTTGCAAAATATAAAACATTTTTGAAATATTTTTTATTCATTATAGTATTATTTATTTCTTATTTATATTCAATTTTTCGAATTTTTTATAATTTTTAAGTATTTCAAAAATGTTTTATATTTAATTGGGTGTTTTAAGATTTTTCAAATTTTTAAAAATTTTAGTAAATTTTACTATTTTTGAAATTTACTCAATTTTTTGGAAAATGGAAAAATCTTATAAAACCCAATTCAAAGAAATAAAATTTGAAAATATAAAAAATATAAAAATATGCGAAAAATGTAATATAAATAAATAGTAAAATGTATAGAAAATAATCATTTTTTGCACATTATGTTTCAAACTAAAATTAAGGTGTGCCACAAGGAGCTGTTTTAGGGCCACTATTGTCCACTATTTTTGCTGTTTACTCAAATTTTATGAAATTTGCAAAATCCTAAAACACTCGATTAAGTGGAAAACATTTTTGAAATACTTAATAATCAGAAAAAATGCAAAATGTTTAAAAATAACTAAGAAATTAATGATAAAATAGATAAATTGTATTCCGTTTTTGCCTATGGTATGTCTCAAGGAACACTTTTAGAACCCCAAACACAAATAATTATGTTTAAAACTTAAATTAAGGTGTGCCACAAGGAGTTGTTTTAAGGCCACTTTTGCAGGTTACTTAAATTTTGCAGGAAATCTTAAAAAACCCAATAAAATGAAAAACTACAATATTATAAAAAAATAAAAAAATGTAGGTACCCTTCTGGAACCTCCAACATTTTTTTACTTAAATTTTTAGAAATGTGCAAAAAACTTTAAACCTTAATTAAATATACAACATTAAAATACTTCAAAATTAATATAATAAAGAAATTAATTATAAAGTAAGCAGAATTCTTTTTTGTTTATGGTATGCCTTAAGGGACACTTCTGGAACGCCCAACATGAATAATTATGTGTAAAACTAAAATTAAGGTGTGCCTCAAGGAGCTGTTTTAGGATCACTGTTGTTTACTCTCAACATAATCGATTCTTTAGGTGGTAAATTTAGCAAAACCTTGGGCAATATTTCGGCTGTAATTCAACGTAACGTGACTCAACAAAATATTCATCACTAATTATTTCATGCTGACCCGCTAAACTTTACGAAATAACAATATTAATTATTGTTGCACATATGATTGAAACCCAAACAATTATAATGGTGTCTTCTATAAAGGCATTAAATAAATAAATAGCTACTTATGAGCGGACATGCCTTTTTCTTTGTTTAATATCGTTGAGCAACATTTTTGTCAGAGAAAAAAGAATAATAGTACAGTACTATAGATATATTGGCCAATAAGTTGTGATTGCGAATTTTTCATGTATGCATGTAAAACATTCCATTCTCGTTGCATGAGAAAGACTTAAATCTTTTGTTATATAAAACACAAAAAGACGAAATTTGAATAATAAAACGGTATAAAACGAAATGCACGTGGCCGAGTAGCAGGTGTTTAGGCAGAATAAACAAATGGGCAAATCTCTTGAGAGTTGGAATCCTTTAAAAGCAAGCAGTGTGCAAATCGTGTAATGAAAACATTAAATATTGCAACACCGACTCGCTTATTATTTATGTTTATGCGATTTTTATAACTTACACTTGCAAACGAAATGCCAATGTTATTTCGTATGTAATCGCCTTTTTACCTCCAAATAATCTTTTACAGATAAACCATTGCGAAATATTTAAATATATTTAATGCCCACACTACTTCTGAAATGCCATGGAAATCCAGATTTGAAAAAAAATACTAGAAAATAAAACTACTTAACCGAATTTGGCATCTTAAATTAATGAAACATTTGTTTTTTTTTAAATTACAAAAACAAAAATTAACAGTAATTTACAAAAGATATTTTTAAAGATGTCCTTCAGGGTACTATTCTGGGACCTCTCAGATTATACGATAGAATAGTTGGACTTATTTTTTGGATAGAAATTTAAATCAATATGTGTATTAGGAGATATTGCAAAATCATTTAGAACATTACCTTGATGAAATGAATCGAGCTAAGAGACAAAACATGTTTTTTTTCTCCCACCTTTATAACTTCCATTATCGTACATGACACTAAGTGACCTTTTAAATACACATTGACAAGTTGTGGCTTTGTGGCGCTTTAGTCACGGGCTGAACTTAGCAACAGGTTTTTAGTCACGGGTTAGTTTTAAGAAAGTTGACAGTTGTCAAATGTCATACAATCGTTAAAAGTGCCTTTCTTGTAAAATAATACTAAATGTGAAAATTATTTTATTATCTCAATACAAAAATATAAAAATATTAAATAGTTTCTTGACGAGAATATTTGAAAATATTCTATGAACGTTTGTTAAGTTAAAAAAGTGGAACAGTTTTTGAGATAAAGGCAATTTTCCATTTAATATGGAATTGACTATATCTCAAAAACTGCTCCACTTTCATAATTGTTGACGGTATTTTCGGATTCAGGGGACAATTTTACATAAGAATTGGGAGAATTTGGGATACCATGCTGCTCCATGGTTAACCATGGTACAAGTGAAAAAGCAGCCACTAATAAGTATTAAATTATTCATTTTTGACTAATAGATTTTTCAAGAGATACATTTTGATTTACACAGAACAATTTAAGATTTTAACGCCGGTAGAAATTCTAACGGGAATTCCAGTAAATACAATTGTCATGAATGGTGAAAATTACTTCAAAAATATTTATTGGAATGGTTACTTCATTTTAGTATAAATGTTGCAAATACAAATATTTAGTTTAAACCATTTTTTAGATAATATTAAGTATTTGTAGTAGAAAAAGTATAGTATGCAACTCTTTTATAAACTTTTCTATTCTTAGTAACCCGAAAACTACCCGTTATCACGTCATGACTTGCAAGTTTTGACAATAAATTTGAGTCAAAATCATTGAAATATAAACAAATTAAAAAATATATTTCACTTACTGTTTGCACACTTTTGTGGATTTGGCAGTGACAGGAACCTTCCAGGTCTGTTGGAAACCGGCCTACTCTGTCTTGTTTCTCTGATAGATGGCGTGGCGACTGCGCATGCGCACGCAGCCAGCACGAGACAACACGCAATCTTCATCTGAAAAAAAAGTAAAAAATATTTAAACAACATTTTTTTTATGCCTTCAATATTCTCCTCCGACACAAATTTTCAAGGTATGCTTCAAGGACCTGCTCTAGGAGCACTAAAGTTATTTGTTTCCATTAATGAGTTTACTGTTTTACGACCAACAAAATACATGTTTCTTTCGTTGTAATTGCATAATTCTTCTAGTGTATTTATTTATCATTACTAACATTGAACAACTATTTAAATAGGAACTTTTGCGCCATCATCATCATTATAATAATTGTTAATTACAAGGTAATACATCATAATTTATCATAATTGCATCCTTTTTAAAAAGTGTTAAAAAGTTATTTTTGAATATTTATAATATACTTTGTAGATGTGTTCTAAAAATAATATGCTAATTTTTCGATTTTTTGACAAGTGATCTAGTTTTTTATGAATTACTTTCACTTATGTAAGTTTCAAAATAATTTTTTTGGAGTAGGTTATGAAATTAATTGAACAATTATGAAATTAGGACTTATAGGATCAGATTAAACAATATTTTTTCCAGCTTTAAAACACACATACATAGGTATGTTTCCATGACGCTAAGTAATGTTTTAAATACACACTGACAATCTGTTACTCTATGGCGTTTTAGTCACGGGCTGAAGTTAGCTTTAATTTAGTTGACAGATGTCAAATGTCATAGGAGCGTCAAAATAAAGTGCCCTTCTTGGGAAATACCACTAAATTTTGAAATTATTTTATTATCTTCATACAAAAATATTATATAAATTCGCTCTATAAAACTATTTAAATTAATTAGTTAGGTATAAATTATGTTTTGTAATATTTTTCGTATAAATGGTATAGTATGCAACGCATTTATAAATTTTTATACACTCATTTTATTAAAACTTGCTCGCAAGCTTCGCTCGTGCCTAATAAAAAATCGTGACCAAAATGGCGTTTATCAAACTTTTTACATATTATATAATTTTAATTGTTAAAACAAATTTTGTAACATGTCCATGTATTATTTTAATTTAAACAAATTAAATAAGATTCTTGACATTTAAAAATTATTTTTTTATTATTAATAACACACGCAGTAAGATTGTAATTAACCGTGTATACATAATAATAAAATATTTTAGAAAAACCTTCCATTGATTTAAATTTATTGAACCGGAATATTATAAATATGTACAATAAATAAATATATAAAATAAAATTTAACGACAATAATTTAAATTCAAAATAAAATTATTATTTACATAAATTAATTGATTAACCAAATAGTTTTGTCCACAAGTTATTAAATAAATTAATAAGTTTACAAAATCGTAACCAATTGGACTTTTGTTTTCACTAATAAATCAAGATAGATGAGTATTATAAATTTCACCGAATTCTTCAAAGTTAATAATTAATATGATAGTGGTAAAAGTTTTTGAGTACATTTTTATTTTTTTAAATAACTTTGTAAAATATTATATAACTTTAATGTGGGCATTTATAAAAGAATTATGTACAAGGAAGAACTTAAACAATAATGGGTACTTATTCTACAGTTTTTATAAATTTAATTAAACTTCATATGCGTGTCAACATTAATATGTTTTGTAGTAAATCATTTTACCGCTGAATTTAATTGTAGTGAGATTATTTTGCGGTTGTTTTTATTTTTATTTGTGGTTTTCTAAACTATACAGTGTGTCCGCCTAAGTTTTCTACAGATGGGAACCTTTTTATTAGTATTATTAAATTTGAGAAAAAAACTCCTAATGAAAAGTTGCGCTTCCTGAAAAAATAATACAAGAATATTAAAACTTGAAATAGAAACAAGTTTAAATCAATTGCCTCCCCTATATTTTTTTAATCAAATACTTTAACAAAAGATCATTGGTAATTGGGTTGGGTCCTAATTAAAACAAAAAAAAATATACCCATTCATCCTGTTTTGCACAAAATGAAATAGTTTTTTAGCCAAAACTCGACAATTTTCTTAATGCTGTAATATGAACAATTTTAGTCGGATTTTAATAAAATTTAGAAAATTTTGTGTCTTCACCTACTTATCTACTTTATTTTATTAACATTTAAACGCAATCAAATAAAAATTGGCAAAATGGCACTCAAAACAACCGCATGCGTAAAAATTTGAATCGGTGAGATTAAAAACAGTACAAGTCCACAAAATTTTGGTAAAATATTTCAAAAAATCAGTTTTATAGTTCTGAATACATTTTTGTGAGAATATTTTAATTAGTTAATAAAATATAATATTCATATTCTGTCAAATAATTTATATCATCTCACAAAAATGTTTTTTGAACTTTAAAATTGATTTTAGAAAATCATTTTTAGACCTGTACTGTTCTAAATCTCAGCTAGGTCTTTTTGCTCCTTGACCGTGTACTCTCTAAAAATGAATTAGTCATAAGGATTAATTTAATAGTTATTAGTGGCTGCTTTTAACCATGGAATACCATGGTATCCCAAAATTTAACAGCCAATGTTTACGTAAAATTGTCCCCTGAATTCGAAAATACCGTCGAAAATTATTAAAGTGGAGCAGTTTGTGAGATATAGTCAATTCCATATTAAAAGGAAAATTGACTATATCTCAAAAACTTTTCTACTTTTTTAACTTTTGACGACATTTTCGGATTCAGGTGACAATTTTACATATATGTAGAATAAGAATTGGCTGTTAAATTTTGGGATACCATGGTTAACCATGGTACAAGTGAAAAAGCAGCCACTAATAACTATTAAGTTAGTCATTTTTGACTAATTCATTTTTAGATAGTACGAGACTTTAAATATATTCTGTGAGTAGTAATGAATTGAAGGGGTAAGAAACAAAATGGTACAAGTGAATTTTAGCATGACAATAAGTTAAGTGCAGAATTGGGTAGTTTAGAGTCCAAACTTTTTTCTAAATTTTCTTATAAACTGAAAATTTTACGAATTCTGCATGTTGATTAATACAAACATTGAAACACGGATCCAGATTTTTGTATACATATATATAGCAAAAACTTTTGATATTAATTCCACTTTTCTTTTTTGTACTTTTGCTTCTTACCCCTTCAATTAAAATATGTATTCATACGAGTTAAAAAAACAATCACTGTTTAAAAATATATACAAAACTTTCTTGCATAAGTAACTATTTTTTCGTAAAATTAATAATAAAAAAGTTTCCCATATGAAGACAACTATGCCTTTTTAGTTTACGTCTTGCAAAAATCGTTAAATTACCTAAAGGTTATTTAAAAATATAAATATGTATACCTAGAGATGTGACATGAAAAAAAAACGGTGCATTTTTTTCAGTTTTTTTTCGTTGTTTTTTTTTCAAATGGGTATTTTTTCATATTTTAGGTTTTTTTTCGAGATAAGTCCCATTTGCCTAATTTTTTATGTTTTCAGTCCAGTTCATAGACTAATATTTAGCCACTAAATTACATTTAGTATATGTACCCACCAAATTGACCAATAAGGGCCGCGCTTGTTTTGATTTAGTCCTAAAAAAAGAACTACCTATAATATTTTTGAATCAGCGCTTGATTTTCCAAAAAGGTACAAAAAGCCATTTATTCATGATTTTTCAAATTCATAATATTAAATTCTTGTAGAACATTTATTCAAGTTTTTAAAACCCAACTTGAATTTTCTGTGCAATCTTTGGTTGCTGTGATATCGATGGTCAAAGACGAAATGATCCTTTTCCATTGAAAGTCCGATATCTCGGAGAAAAATAGTCGTATCAAAGTCTAAAAAAGCAAATTGAAGCTGAATGAAAAAGTTATACGGTTCATATGGTGGTTAAGTCAGAACATTATTATTACGCTATTCGTAAGGATTAAGCGTTGCACGTTGCTTTAAAAAAAATTTATCTAAAAATCTCAAGACTAGAAACTTCAAGCTTCAAATTGCCTTTTTACAGCTCCAATACGACCTTTTTAAGGAAGATACAGCTATCCGAAAAATCGCAAAAAAAAAAAATTTATCCTGTAATTTTTTCCATTAGTGCAGAAGTTTTACATTACAAACGGGTTAGTTTTTTTCACGCCTACAAAAACCGTTTTTTTACATCTCTATGTATACCTAATAAACGCTATTTTAATAGTAAATTATTATTTTTTAAACAGGAGATTTTGAAAAAAAAACTTTTTTTGTTAAAATCTTTAAATTAAATGTATAATTTATTAAGGTTAATACTTTACTCTTTTAAATCTTACTTTTCATAGGGAGATCCCAACAGTGGAAACACAACGAACCTTCTTACAATCTTTAATTTTCCCTTTAAAAAGAGTCCCTGTATGTATTACAAATTGCATTTTTTAATAAAAAAAAGTAAAAAATGACATCCATTACTCAAAAAACAATACAGAAACTACATTTTTAAAGAAACAAAAAACTTGACTTACCATATGTATTCCAAAGAGGCAAAAAAATGTAAAAAAATTAAATAAAAAAACTAGAAAGTGATACACCTACACATGTGCACTGTTACTGCGGTGGCAGCTGTCGTTCTCATAAAAAGAACACTTAGGTGTGCTTTCTTACCTTGCGTTATCGTGGACTACTACGACTTGTGAACTCACGGAACACTAAACGACTGAATCTCGAGACGACAAGTGAGAGTCCATATTTATAAGGCGGCTTCGATCATCGAAGATTTGCTGACGGTCGGCCGTTGGGGGGACGAAACAAACATTTTCCGTTTGTTCTGTTTTTTTTTCGGTTAATGGGGGTTTTTCCCATGAAATAAGACTAATACGGGCATTTTCAGCATTTGATCTTCCTTTTTATCTGTTTTTTGTAATGCTGCTGCATTATAATATTTTTGACAAAATTTAATATTTGTTTACATTTTTATCTACTCCTATTGCATAATATTTTGTAAATAATGCTAAACATTGTAAATTCCCTGCATAAAAACGGGAATAATAAACTCATTATTCACGTTTTTAGGCATCAGCGATTGGCCGATTGGTTTTTAAAGACGTTTACGTCAAAGAATTTTTGTTATAATTGTCATATTATAATGTCAACTGACATCAGTCAGTTTTAAAGTTTAAAGAAGAATGAACTTGAGGAAGCAGCTGAAAAGGCGAAAAATTGCGGCCTGCTGCCGGAAAAATCAAAATCTTTATACGAAAAAACTAACTTCGAATATATTAAATGGTGTAACATTGTTGTTTTTAATTTTTGACGTTTCAGTATAGCCCACTGGGTCATAATAACGCCCGCGGGCTATAAAAAGACGTTTACGTCAAAGAATTTTTGTTATAATTGTCCTAATATAATGTCATCGTGCATAAAGTATATTTATTATTACACTCGAGATTATGCGCATTATTCACTGGTACGATTTAAGACACCTGTCTGGCGACTCGAGACGCAAACCTCATCCTCGTGAATAATAGCCTGCATTATCTCTCGTATAATAATATACTACACTGTTTTAAAAATCAAACTTGTTAACTCATGAGTTTGTAAGCATTTTATTAATTTCAAAGGTTACAGATTATTTTGATAATGTTTAACAAATTATTTGGTTGAAAAAGTACACGTGATTTCAAGCAGTCAATCAAAACATTTCCCACTGACAATACGCATCAACAAGTTCAACTGACTTCGGCATCTGCAACTTATGTTTCTGCTTACTTTATTATAATTCGTAACGTGTTCGTAACAACTGTCCAGAGTGTTTATAATATATTACCAGAAATCTGTTATTATTATTATTATTATTATTCGGATTCCTTATAGGTACCTATTTTTACCTATTTTTCAAACTGAAATTAGGGGATACAGTGAAATGGGTTAAAGTTACGAAATACATCAGTAAGTGTTGTAGTAGTACAGATAATTATATTGTACCAATTTTTTTTTATAATTTAATGATTTCAGACTGGTGTGTTATTTAATTGTGAGTATGTTATTTTTGTGTTCATTTATGTAGCTATGTGTTAATTTTTTTGTTTAGTAAATTGATTAATAAATAAGCAACATTTTTTTATCAAAATTCTTTTCATTTTAGTTCCCAATTTCCAACAAATACTTTTGTTACTGGGTCTACAAAAAGGTTTGTAAAAATAATGTCCTAAAATTATGGCTGAATTATTGACATAGGATTTTGTTTTTAAATCTACAAAATGTTTGTTATAATTACAAACTACTTATTCAATTAGTTAACAGATTACAGTTGGTTGTAAACTTAACATAAAGTTAAGTAAGTGGACATGGATTAACATAAAATCTGGTTAAATATTTTTTTACTGTGTATTATTTTAAGTTCTCAGTCATTAAAAAATTAAAACTGTAAATTCGACAATTTCTTAGGTATACCTAAACTCTTTAAAATTATAATTTTATAATTATACAAAATCATAGTAAATTACGACGAGTCTACTTGAAAATCATTCAGGATTTAATTTTTTTAACACTTTTATAAATTTGTTATTCAAACAAAACAACAAAAACCTTCTATTTTTAGATGACATTTTTCTGCTATGAAATTATATTTTAATGTTATTATTAACATAATTTGTGGTTTGTTTATAATATTATTGTTTTTGAAAGTAGGCTCACTAGATTTTTTCACGGCCTAAATAGGCAATCTGAGTAATGAAACGTCCTACCGTGTTTTAAATTAGCAAGTCAAATTGTTCTAATTATAATTAGTTTTAGCTATTTAGTTAATTACCTATACTAGATCCTGAAACTACTATATATATAAGGTAAAGATTTTTTTGAAAATGGTAATTTTACATTGTTTGGGTTAAATTAACCCACATTAATTAATTACAATCTTGTTTTTACATTTTTGATTACAATTCCATGAATTTGTTTTATTGCTAATTTTTAAAAGAGTAATTTTCTGGTAAAAGAATTACAAATAAAACTTTATTATTTTATTATATTTTTCTTAAGTCAAGGCTATCTTTATTAATTCTTTAAGTAAGACTAAATTACCGTAACGATTTTTAATGATTTATTAATAATAAGATTTGCTTTTCTAAATTAGTATATACAGGGTGGCCCAACGAAAACGAGCTTCAGTTTCGAGGGGGACATCTTTTTCGTCATCTAAAAATAAGAAAAAAGTTTATATAAACGTAGGTCCGGAAATGCTTGGTTTTCAAGATAAGAGGTGTTTAATTTTTTTTTAATCCTAAATACTGTTTTCTTGATTTTATTGAAATTTGGCCACGTTATTTATTATAAGTAAGTTTTTATTTTTTCTGTCGAGAGCGAGGTAAGATACGAAAAAATATACATAAAAATATAAAAAAAGTTGCACACAAGACAGTGGCGTTCATTTTTAGTCATTAATAATTTGTTAAGGTACATTTCGGCACGCCACTGTACTTGATAATTTTAATCTAGTTAAAGCAACATTAGCACCTGAGTATAAATAACGTTGCCAAACTTCACCAAATCGGGCAAACAATATTTAGGATATTTAAAAAAATCCGTTTTTTTAATGTTTGGTTTTTGTTGGGCCACCCTGTATAGATATTTTATTTTTACCTTCATCGTATAACGATATTATATACTCATTTGTTTTGTTGAAAACTAATTAAACAAACGTTTATTATTGGTATATTTAAGGTGTCAAAAGTATGATAAATTAGGATGCTTTATTATGTTTTTAAATAAAATTTACTTTACGATGTTTTCAGGGAAAGTTTTGTTTTAAAGGACCAAATAAAAAAGTAGTCGGAATTTTGTTTACTCACTTGAAAGATTTTATGATATTATCTATTTCATATAGAAAAAATTATATAGTTTTATAAAAATTATTAATGTCTAGACTTTATTATTATTATTATTGAAAATAATAATATTATTAATAATAAAAGTATTTATACAAATACCTTCCCTTGAACTTATGAATAATATAAATTTTTTTCAAAGAAAAAACAACGGGGTGCTGTTACAATCACGATTATCACTTTTATTATTAATTATTTTAAATAATTATGCATTGCTTAACCTTTTGTCGATAGTGGTTTTCGAGTTATTCGCTTCTTTTTAGATAAAAACTGGACGAGGATGTTCTGACATTGACTTCCAAGTGAAAGTACACATCTCTCGTGATGAAGGTCGTAATTCTGTTTAAATTATTATTTCGAAGACGTGTTATCAAAATCGATGATTTTATAGACAAATGCTTGATCAAAGTGGGCGTAAAACACAATGGAGAGGTTATTAACCAGGTTTTTTATTGCGTTTTTTATGTTTTGATTATATTTTGTTTGAAAGAACCTATCAATTAATACCAACTAGTTCTTGTTCAGAATTTTATTAAAATTGTTAAAAAGTTTGTCAAAAATATATATGAATCATGGTCACAATTTTTATGGACCAAAATATAATATTTTGTGGCGATAAAAGAAATTTTTCTGTTTACCACAAATAATTTGGGTGCACTGAATCCAAAAATGACCATCATTTGTGAAAAACCCGTTTTTTGACATGCAAACAAATCGTATACAGTGTGGCCCATCTAAAACAGTCCAGAAAGGTTGTTTGTGAAAATACTTTTGTTTTCAGGGGGCATTCACCCTTATTTTTTTAAATGGTAAGGGAGTGAAACATCTTTTGAAGGGGCATTAAATTTTCTTTAAAATGGCCATTCGTTTTTAAATTCGCCGACTCGATAAAAAATGGTTTATTTTATTGCGAAGGGAGTGGAAATTACTAAATTGTATTTCAATCAATGTGCAAGAGTAAGGGAAACTTTGTTTTGATAAGAGGCATACACATAGACACCTACATCATGGTTACATCCTAGAATTAGTAGAAAAATTCCGGGAAACTGGTAAATAAAAAATGAGATATTAAAAATCGTGTGATGAGGCAGTAGAAGTAGCTGTTCTAGGTAAAATTACTTTGGACCCTACATTAGGTACTAGAAATCTTTCTCATGTAACGGAAGTTTCGCGGGCCACTGTACAGAGAATTCTGAAACATAATAAATGACACCCATATAAAATTCAACTTCTTCCAGGATTGCATGAAGATGAAAATGACCGACGTTTACAATTTTGTAAAATAATGTCCTAAATAATTCCCAACTACTTTTTTAATGTTCGCTTCTCAGATTAATGTTCATTTTTTCTTAATGGCATCTTTCATGAGGTTCATACTCAACATCATCAGAAATTAAACCTTTGTGCTGGTATATTTGATGATCACATAAACAAAGAACACTTGTAATATGGATTTTTTATCATTTAATAAAATACGTAAGTACTTATTAATTAAATTAAATGAAATTTCTCGGAACTCTGCAGCACACATTTAAAAAACGAAAATTCATTTTAAAGAAAATTAAAAAAATTAGGGTGAATAACGCCCCCGCTACGGGGTTGAAGTTACAGTGATGAAATTAATGTGTAAATATGTCCTCCTGAAATCAAAAGTAAAAAAAATCTGTAAGCAACATTTATTGAAAAACGCTTAAAAATTTTATATTTCTTCCAAAAATATCACGCTTGCCATTTTTAAATCCATTTTTGACAAAAAAAATCTAAAAATTTAGTGGTGAAAACGAAAATACGAGATATGAAGATTTTACCAAGTCAAACGTCAAACGTCAACAGCGCAGC